CCTTGAAAGTTGACGGAGGAAAGGCGGAAATTTGGTGAAAATGTAGATACTTTTCAATAGAAACAGAGTCAGTGTTTATGGCTCTATGGCATCCCAGTCCAAAATATTAATCAATTTGAATCCAGTGATTTTATTTTTCGCACATTTAACTATGCAATCGTTCTGCAATTTGTGAAAAAATTCATGCAAAATCAGGATGAGTAAACAGTGAACAATTCCACTCAAAGTTATACCATTAGTCCAGAGCTCTATTCACGAATTACTTTGAAGTTAAAGGCGTTAATTTCGCACAAATAGCGGGAGATAACGAAGGAAATTAAAGAGGTCGAGTCATTTTGCTTGTGTCCTCGGAAATGTTGAAATAAGAAATTGCTCGTATATTTTGAAGTAATACCGAGGAAAGCATTTCACTTATTGTAAAAAAGATCGCATGAGCTCTTAAAATCCTGCATTTGATAACGCGGACTTGATTTTTACTGATAATTTCTGAGAGCGAATATATAACGAGCTGGGTTCCGCGAAAGCATTAAGTAGGATCTTCAGTAATATCCGCAAGAACTACATCCAAGAATTACTCGACTAATTAGAAGCGGAGAAGAAGTTCTCTTCTTATCGAGAACTTAATCAAGACTATTCCGCGATATCTCGCGATCTTTGATATCATCGATTAAAGTATCGGATTCGGCGAAATTGATGAACATGTGCAATAGATAATCAGACAGCTGTCAAAATTAGATATATACATGTCAAAATTAGATATGTATATGTAATTTTGACAGCTGTTCGATTATCTACTAAGCATGTTCGTAATTGAGATAAATCATAGGTTCGCTTCGTCGTATTTTTTTGTGTTCTGAAACATGTAAAAAAAATCTGCAACTGTCCTGTGACCGACTGTACCTACAAGAATAGAGGAATTTAAAGATACGCGCCCAATACCCGCAATTCAGTTCTTGTTCTTGTGTCTCACAATGTGGAAGTCAAATTTCATTTCAAAAAATCGAACCGAACTTTTCGACTGACTCGATGTCCGCCGGCTAACGTGGCTCGATAACAAAGCTGCATCGTCACCATCGCATTCGTACACACGAGCCCGCTTAATGGCTATTAAACCACGAAGAACTGAATGTAATTTATTGTCGCGGGCGCTGTTTATCGCGAGACAACGTGCTCATGCTTAATAAAACAAGAATGGTCAGCGAGACCAATTCAATTTCGTTGACCGTATTATCCGAAGAATTTACTTCTGGATGAAAGTCCGTCTGGACATGGTCGCATTAATGCTAATCGCTTGGACAAATCGAAGTAATGCCCCTCGATAATTACTCTTTGAACACGAAACGCTGTACGAAATAATCATCGATTAACTTATCAATTGACTTATTAATTATCTTATTCATTAGCTTTATCAAAACGACTTCATTGAGAGATTGCAAGTGCGTTTTTTGTATGTATTCACAGGAGAAAAATGTCTGTTCAACAAGAAAATGTGAGTGATAATCTGAAAAGAATAAAAGATAAAGTCAAGTTGTTTTTTTTAAACGAAAATAGAAGATTTTTAGTAATGCGCAATTATCTAATATTTGATCCAGTCGCCTCCATTATCAATTATTGTTTGGTAAATTATCACCCACACTTTCTTGTTGAATTGACTGTATCGATAGAAGCAGTCGGTAATGCCATAATTAAAGTAAATTTTCTTGATTCGATAACGATATTATTGAAACTAACACTCGAATTGTTAAAAATAATATATTATAACAATAATGTATTAGTTTCTTCCCGTATAAGCATGGAAACATATAGAAAATTTCATGTAATAGTGATTTTCTCATCATCAAGTTGCAATATCGGCGTTATTTTCTCTTTCTTCTAAACTAAGTTATTAAAACAATATATAATGTATGTCTTAGTTTCAACAATATAGCTATTAAATTGAGGAGATTCGCTCCGATTATGGCGCCGTTGGCCAATTCTACTGATACATCTTTTTCCCATATAAATATACGGAAATATATAGAATTTTATGCGATGATATTCTGTATTAAGTTCATTTTTTCCTCCCTCTCTCTCTCTTTTTTCTCACTCTCATTCAACGAAAACTTGCCGGTTGCAACGATACGATGTTTATGGGAGACCGATGACGCGCACGTAGCGTAATTCAACAGACGAGCATTAATTATGAACGCGGAAAATCCTGAAAAATCCTCGGATCTTACGCAGGTAGAAGAAGCGCAAATGAATTTCGGAACTTACCGGAATGCAGGCGTGTCGATTAATACGTTGTACTTCCACATGTTACGGTACTTCCGCGTCATTTTATGTCGTTCGAAGGCTCGCATGTGTATTGGCTCGATCTTTCGAGTTTCTGAGCGAGTTCAAACACACAAACTCCGAATTCGCACTTTTCGCGTCGTGTGAGCGATTTGCCTATGCGCGCTTTTCCACTATTTTTTCGACCCCACTCTTTCTCTCTTTCTCTCTCTCTCTCTCTCTCTTTCTCTCTCTCTCTCCCCTTCTTCTTTCTCTTTTCTGAACACGAAACGCGTTACGACCTCGGCGAAGGTCTCATAACGGAGTCGTCGCACATCTCACGCGAGTTATTAACGGATTCCATCGCTCGCCGATATTGCGGAACGCGCAATTCCGCGCAAGTGCGCGCGCGTACGATAATAACACTGACGGGAAGAGAAGCAGCTGTTAATACGTCTAGCTTTTCATACCACCACGAGCGTAATTGAATCGAATGGAACGACGATCTAGGGAACGATCCGATTTCGATACGCGATATCGATACGCTCCGTTTACGAATTATCATCCCGTGACAGGGACCTATAGCATCCTCGCGACCTTGTTGTAAAACAGTGTCGCGTTATCGCGCTGTGTCAGGCCGACGAGAGGGAAATTCTCTGGTCGTTCATAACCGGAGAACTCTCGACTATAATTAAATACGACACCGCGACAACGCGAATGAACGACGACGCAAGTGGACACACGGTACTCCGGTTTCCGTAAACTCCGAATTACCTGACGCGTAAGGAGAACTTGTTGCGGTCTCGGATCGCGCTGTGAATAAAAGCACGTGTGTCGGTGAGCCGACACCGATGCGCTTTCATCCGTAAAACCCATATCAGACTAAAGTCAGTATTCATAATCGGATCTTATATTTAAGAAGGTATTCTAATCTGGACATTCGTTTTTTGGGAATTAAAATAAGAAAATAAGAAAAACTATTAAAGCTACGGAGTTGGGGTTTTGCACGAATATTTATTCGTGTTTAGATTTATTCGTGTTTGAAGTGACACTAAAAACTTTTATAATTCATTTGATTAAAAATTATACAAGCTAGAAATCGACGCGCAAGCCGTGTTGCGAAATGTGCGCTCAATCAGATTTCGCTGATATCCGTGCAAAAACTCTAGTTCTGTAGATTTAATAATTTTTCTTACTTTCATTGCAAAAAATCAGCTTGAAAACGGGTCATTGAAGGCATTGAAGATCGAGGATTGTGAGCTCGAACTTGATCAATCGGCACAAAGCGAGCCAAGATAAAAGTTAGTTGCTTTGTCGAATTTTAATCTTTAAGTCACAAGGATGGTGGAAGGTTAATTAATCGCGTAAGTCCGAAAAAATATTCGGCAAAAAATAATGCGAAAATATATGCGTTATCACTCGTCAAACATATTATCTACCCTTGGTTTTAATAATATATTCGCATCGAGATCGGTTCGCCTTCCTCCTCTTTCCTCGGTCATATATCTTGAGAGTCTTATTTTATATAATTTATTCTGACCCACAATCCCCAATCTGAAATACACAATCTGATACGGGCTGAACACGTTGACTGCCACGCTGATTTTCACTGATTATTTCGATGTAAAAATGTACAGAATAAATTCGATAAACAATGGCAATTCACAATGTATATATTCGTTTCATCGGCTCCTCCATTATATATTTAATCGTGTATGTAATTGGAGTTACGTTTTATATGCAGATTAATGAGACGCAGCGATATTATGGCACCGGTGACGATCATCGTATTAACGATCCGAGCGCGACGGGTCGTCGTGAGGACGCGGAAAACGCTCGGAGTTTTCTCTCCGATGCAGCATCACGAAATCTCGCATTCGCTTTACTTCCGCGACGGAGAACTCGACGATTTGCATGTGTATGCACACCGAAGAACCGAACAGCCGAACGATTACTTCGCAACTGATAGTGCCTTGGTTTACCAAAGTAATTTAAGGTAACCTTGAACTTTATCCAGAGAAATTATTTAGCAGCGCGTGAGCGATAACTCGCCCGCGCGTGCAAAGTCAATGCAAACGAATTTTTCGTACGCCCCGAGCGACAATTAAAATGCAATCACGTCGAGGCATTAAAAGCGTGGCTGATGTTGCGTGTGCAAATTGCGGCACGTTACAAATGATGCGGCTGACAGTGTGAGATAAGATAACTCAATAATGAAATATCTCTCTCTTTTTTCTCTCTTGCGAATTTATTCCAAGTTACGAATGTGTACAATTTTTACGTAACAAGAGACATCGAAATCTGTACGAACAGTTGCTCGCTTGAAACGACGCTTGTCTCAAATGAGATTTGAATTCAGGTTTGAATTCAGAATTAGATGTGAGCTTTTCATTTGAGAATCGTAATTACAGATATAACGTCAATTATATCATTCGAATCGACTGAAAATCGACTCATATCTAATTCCGAATTCAAATCTGAAGTATTTTACATGAGACAAGTTTCAAACGACAACAATACACAGGAAATGAATGCCACTGAAATCAATGCCAAAGACCTTGGATTAGTTCCGCATGACTTATCGGCGATTGTTTATTCAAGGTTCCTAAATCGCGCGCGTTAGAAGCTAATTGGAAAATCCATTAGGACCTATTGTTATTTGGACAGACGTGGATTATAGACTTTCGGTCTCACTGACGTAGAATTATAGACTTTCTCCTCGTAACAAAAAAATGTATTTCACTCACGTATTCTTCGCAGGTCGGCTCTCCGTCTTGGAGTCGTCTGGCCGTTCACCTTGACGTTGATCGACGTCGCTCTTCCCTTCTGTAGAGAAAGTTTACACATTGTACAAATGTTTATGACACTTTTATGACACTTTGATTACACATTTATGACATTTAACAGATACCTTGTACTTTAAGTAGTTATTTAGATAATTGTGACACGTGACAGATACTCCAATTTAGATATCAAATTTTTGTTAACATATGTGCTCGATAGAGCTCAGTATTGTTTCTCTTTTATGTTGCATTGCTTATAATATTTATATGTAAAAATACCTTAATTAGTTATACTTCAAACAGTTATTTAGATAATTACAACAACTGATAGATACTGCAGTTTAACTACTGAATGTTTTTAATTATATGTCAGAGGTTGTTCAGTGTTGTTCTTCTCTTCTACAAATGTTACGTATTGAACAATTATTTACTTGTAACAGATATTTTAAGCAACAATTAGTTATGATAACTGACTAACGTTACAGTTTAGGTATTGAGTTTCCTGAATCATATGTTTCATGTCACAGTAAAGAATCTTGACTAATTCCTCCATGATTCCCATATGATTGAAAATACTCATCATAGCCCGGGAAAACAAATTATATATAATCATATAAAATTATGTACAATTATAATCATATGTAATTTATATATGAATTTTATCTCTACGTGGCTACATATATAATTATATATGTCCATATGAAATAAAAATACCGTTGAATGCGGAGAAAGCATTTCGATTGAATTGAGTGTTTACATCATGACAGCCATAAACATAAGCTTCAGTTACTTCAGTTGCATTCGCATAACAATACCTTTTATAAATGTAGGACACACATATAATTATATATGATTACACATGGACATATATGGACAAGATTCATGTGCGATCATTTTTTCCCGGTAGCCTATTCCCTGGAAAAACGAAATCAACATACCTCCGTCAACATCCACACGGCTGCCATTCCACCGACTACGTTCCTCTGCCTTCGCCGCCTCCATTCTCCTCTGCAAGCAGACAAAGTTACAAGCATATTAGAGCGAATCATGCCAATCGTCTCACTGCCTTCAGCATCTGACACACACGCATTCGCACAATGCGCACAATAGCGCGACGCGCCACACACGACACGCGTGATGCAGCAGAAGGCTATTGCTAAGAATGCATCGTCGAAATAGGACTGACAAAGGCTACAGACACGCAGCTGTGTCTTTCGTCTACTTCCGGGTGCATGATACTTGCAACGAGACAATGACAAACGCACTTGCGCGTGCACGCATACCCACACACACACACACACACACCACGCGTACCGCTCACATACGGGTCCTCCCGCAACTTTTCATGCGAGCACAGGATATAACCTGACTGACGTCTCGCGCGCTTCTCCTCGGTGCTGGACTACGGACGACCGTCGGGATGCGGCAAGACGACGCATCACTCGACTGCGCGGGTCCGCGCGAGCCTGCTCACCGAGGAGGGTGGACGGAGAAAGCGGATTAGCCGTCGCGCGAACGAGATCGCGCGAATTTCCTCGGGCACGCTCCTGCCTGTCGCACCCTCGCCACTCCGGAGTCACATCCACGGCGTTCGGCGCGGTCGCGGAGCGAACGTGAATTAAAGGAGAAGCGAGAATGACGCGCGAAAAAGACTCGTTGCGCAATCTCGCGGCCGATTGCCGCAACTCGCTATGGCGGACGAGCGCGCGCGCGCGCTGACTCAGAGCAAAGTTCGAAAAGCTAAAGGTGGACTCACAATACACGCCTTTGGCAGAGAAAGCGGTTTTGCGGTTCTCTTTCGTAAAATTCGTGAATCTGATTGGCGTATGCTCTTAGATTTAATCAAGATTAAGGCCCGTGTCAGACAACGGATTGAAGTTTGAGATTGAATTGAAATTTGACCAATCAGTGCAAAATTCACTAAATTTCACCAAATCCGAGTTTAGTTAACTTTGTACCGATTGGCCAAATTTAATTTAATCTCAATCCCCAATCCGTAATCAGATACGGGCTTAAGAGCATACATTAATCAAATTCACGGAATTTTACTCAGTTGCTGCTTTCTCTGCTGAACGCAGCCAATAGAATTTGTCTTCACAGCCTCGGAGACACCCTGTATGACATCCAGCTGTTAAGCAGCGCACGGCTCGATGTGTTATGAATTTTACAGTATCTCCTATTTTTCTCGAATTTTCACCTCCCAAGAAACAGAAGCGATCACGGAGAGATGCGATGAACCGTTGCGATTCGAAGCGAGCTCGGATTTAAATCTATCTGTGGTTTGACATCTCCGCTATACACGCTATAGAAGCGACAACAGCTTTCGGCCGGCGTCCGCTGTTGTTTATCTCGTTCCTCAGGACGTCCCGAGGAACACCGATTTTTTCAGTGAGAAGTTAGTTGTACTCGATTACATTTGATTCTCGCGAATCGACATTCGTGCCTGCGTTAATCGCCAGTAAAGGAAGTGTCCCTCGCGAAGATGCGATTGCGAGGTTAAATCCTCGTGAGACGCGACCTCATGCGAGATTAACCATTTTGTGATTAAGATCGCTCGCAGTTACACGTCGGCAAACGAGTCCAACCGCTCCATGTGACTCGCGCGAAAGGCCGCAAGCATGATTCTTTACTCCTTAATGTAAGGACACACATACCGCGTGAATGTCTCAGTAGTGCGATCCTCTGCATGGTGTATAAATTTATCGGTGTGTAATTACAAGTTGAGTTCTACCTAGTTTACTAAGAACCACTTTTAGCTCCTCGAAACTGTATCCCCTCATTTCGTCATTCTTTTATCAGATTCGTCACCTCGCAATCTTGAATCGCATGATATCATTTTACTTTACATAGAAATGTATATTTGGTTGCAAAATTGATTGATGCTGATTTAGTTGGTCATAAATCTTGGTTGTATCGCGACAATAGTTTGGTGTTGATAAGAAGGAATAATTTTTACAATGAAAAAAACATATCAATGCAAGATACATTTAATTTGATACGCCAATACATATACACTTGTCTTTGCAGGATACTCGTAATCATATCCATAAATATGTTACTGATAATAGCTGCCTGTAAAATAATTTGCGGACTGATTTTCCTGCCACTGCTATTGATAAAATGGAGAAAGATGTACTCGAGAAAGAGGAAAGCAAGGCAAGAGAAAGGCACTGTCGTCGGGATCTTTCATCCGTATTGCGACGCAGGTGGAGGTGGTGAAAGAGTGCTTTGGTATGCAGTGCACGCTATACAGAATAAGTATGTATCTATCGCATCTGATGTCGTTAAAAGATACATGACAATATTTTCCAAGTCAAATGTAAGATTTGTGTCACTACCGTTGCTTTTCATTGTGTTTCTTATCGTCACTATCTGCGTTGATTTCAGATATCCTGATGTGCACATAGCCATATACACCGGTGATCTTTACGCAGGTCCCGAGGAGATACTCAGCAGAACTGAAAAGGTATTCAATGTGAAGCTACAGCGAAATATCGAATTTATCTATCTGCACAGGCGAAAGTGGGTGGAAGCTTCCATGTATCCCTACTTTACTCTTCTGGGACAAAGTCTAGGATCCATTTGGCTGGGTATCGAGGCATTGAACAGTCTTCTGCCAGGTAATATATTGAATTTATACATGTATACACACATGTATACACCCAGCACTGGCAAACAATCCTTACAAATTTTCACTGACAAAAGCAGGTAGCATTTCAACAGCGTATAAGAATGTGACGTCAGTCAAAGAGTGAGATTGCTCTTAAATTGCAGACATATACATCGACACAATGGGTTACGCGTTTACATATCCTCTGTTCAAGTACATCGGCGGTTGCCGTGTCGGATCGTACACGCATTACCCTACTATCTCGCACGATATGCTCAAGTACGTCTATAGGAGAGTAACGACGTATAACAATCGAAGGATCATCGCCAGGAATCCGTTCTTCACGATGGGAAAGCTCCTTTATTACAATCTGTTCGCGTTCGTAAGTATACCGTGCGACGTAATTGCTTGATCTAACGCCGCCTCCAAATGGTTACTTGACAAGTGGATCGTTACACGGTTTTAGTTATACGGCTGGGTCGGCAGTTGCGCCGAAACCGTGATGGTGAACTCCTCGTGGACGGAGGACCATATCAATTCCATCTGGAAATGCCCGCTGAAGACGCACCTTGTGTATCCGCCGTGCAGCGTGGAACACCTGACCGAATTGCCGCTCCTCAGCGACGAGGAGAAGGGCGACTGCATACGCATAGTGGCGGTCGCGCAGTTCAGGCCGGAGAAGAACCATCCGCTTATGCTGAGGGCGATGTTCGAGCTGAGATCGATCGTCCACGAGGAAATCTGGGAAAAGGTGAGCCGGACGATTCATTCCGAAGGAACGTGAAAATACGACGCGAGATTGATCGATGTTCAAGGTGAAATTAATCTGTATCGGCTCCTGTCGAGACGCCGAGGATGAGGCGCGCGTCAAGGACATGGAGGACCTCGCGAAACACTTAGCTCTGGAGGATAACGTCGAGTTCAAGCTTAACATTCCGTACGCCGAGCTCGTGTCGGAACTTCGGAGGGCCACGATCGGCCTGCACACCATGTGGAACGAGCACTTTGGCATCAGCATCGTAGAATGCATGGCCGCGGGACTGATTATGGTGGCTCACGCCTCCGGTGGACCAAGGTACGCGATCGTGCTTTCAATGATCAGAGCGTTACGGAGAAAGATCTTACTCTGACGAGAGGGGCTACCCTGCAATTTTCCAGCACGGACATCATAGAAACGCATACGGGCAGCACGAACGGTTTCCTCGCGGAGACCGAGGAGGAGTACGGCAGAACACTGGGGTACATCATATACATGAACCAGAATGACCGAGACGCTATTCGAGTCGCTGCCAGGTACGAATACGCGACACGATAAAACGCTCGTGATCCGACATCGCGAGATTGATAGAGAACTTCGCTTCCCGCAGGTCATCCGTAAGCCGTTTCTCATGCGAGAACTTCGAGGAGGAATTCCTACGAGCGATCGAGCCGTTTTTCAGACTGAAACAGGATTAGTTTCGACCCCTCCTCGTTCAATTTTTCCCCAAAAGTGGTAAGTCGCGCGTACGAGTGATTCGAACTTTCACGGCGACACGTCAAGTTATTCTGTACCTGTGAAAAATGATGTGTATGTATGTATGTATGTAACAAATAATTTACTGTATGATAATTATTATCTGTTATTTTATTATTGTGTTGCTCGAACGACTTCGCGATGCTCTCGTGCTCGGAGATCCTCGACTTAACATTGAGAATTCACACACAGAGAGAGAGAGAGAGAGAGAGAGAACGTTATAAGTGTGGACGTGAACGCGACTATTGATCGCTCGCGTCGAGAGAATCGGAAAACCGCGGACGTTTCGGCGTCTGAAGTGCGCTCTCGTGCGGTTTTGGTACGGACGAATTCTCGCTGAACAGTCCGCATCCTTGGCACTCCAGAACGTAGGATGAAGCGCCCCTGTCGTCGGTGCTCTCCGAGAGGTCGAAACGAAGCCCGCGGTCGGCCAACATCATTTCCGCGACCCGTATGGCGGTATCCGTGTGGGAAGTGAGCTGCTTATCGCCGACCTTGATCTTCGAGACACCTTTCGCTAGCGTCATCAGAATGATCATCTGCAACACGACGCGACGATGAGCCGAAGGAAAGTCGAGCCGCCGCGTTTAGTCCGCGACGTGCCGCTTACTTGGTCTTGCATGCGCTCGTCGACGCAGGCGCCGGCTAAGAGCGGCTTCAGGATCTCCTTGGCCGCCATTTCACCCGACGACCGTGCATCTCGGGGGCCGGAGTCCAACCCGGATCCACCGAAATTGCAATTGGTGCTGGTGACGCACACTATGCTAGTGTGAAATCATATCTCGCTTGAATATAGGTGGTCGCGCTTTGGCTGTGCAAAAACTGCCAATACCTCGATAATAAGAGAAGAAAGGAGAGACCAAGGATCGGCGTCCTTATTCTGTAACTTTTAACGAAATCATCGTCACAAGTTGCAGAATAAGAAGGCAGGAAACGCTTGTCAGAATTTGGAAATAACGTGAATTCCGAGATATTAGGGTTTCGTAGGAATTTTAGGCATTTTCTTGCTTTTGACGTCGTCAAGCAAGACTGATCTATAATAGACGCTTTAAGCTTTAAGAAATTGATCAATCACAGTCGAATGTGAAGAGTAATAATTAACTGTGATTGGTCAACTTCTTAAAGCTTAAGATACTTGTTGTAGACCGGGACTTGAGCATCCGAAAGACCCGGTACATCCTTCTAAGTAGGGCATTTTCAATGTCCCTTAGTACAAAAGTTTCTTACTTGATGCCAGACGCGTTTCCAGCTTTCGCGTATTCCTTGACACTCTGAATGTTGATCGGTGGCACCCGCATGTTGTTTTCAGTCAGTGCATTCGTTAGAGCCGTTTTAGCGTCGTTCGCCATCTTACGCGCCGCCTGCAAGATACACGACAGATTACATCCGGAATTCGGCTTGAGATTTGTTCAGCAAACTCGACGAGAGCAACGCCATACATTGATATGAACGGCACCGGAGACGAAAGACGATCCTCCTATTTTCTGCGGTACTCCCGGATCGACTAAAGTAACCGCATTTAAGTTACGGATCGGCGATACTTGCAACGATACTTCGCCACCGCCCTTCGGATAAAATCCCCTTTATTTGTGATTAATATTAACATGAGAAGTGTGAAGTAACAAACGGTGGGCGGTTCGTGCTTAGGTACAACGGATTGAACATGTGTACCTCTTGTGGATCGTATCATGAAAGTCTGCTCCGAATCTCTTCAGCATCGGTCGGAACACATCCGTCAGATACTCTATTTGCGGTCCCATCGGCACGTTTGTGCCACCCTTGAGGACAATATTGACCGGCTCGTCACATGGCAAGAAGAGAACACAAGGCAGAGCTACTTGAGCCAATAAGCAAATACATCCGGCGGTTTTCGTGTCAGCCTCAAACACCTTCTTATGCTTAACCAGTGGACCAGGATGGTATTCCAAACGTGTGGATCCTTTGTATCCACCTATTACCTCAGCATTGCACATTTGTTTAGCAATTTCCACACCTGTGACATGAAGCAGAAATTGTTCAGGTTCCAGTCTTAACGATAAACACAGAATCTCATATTATTTTCATTATACTGTACATTGCAAATGTTGCGCAGCTAGGCCAGGTTTAGGCCTTCCAGCACGTATGTTTGTGATCTCAATAGGAATACCATACAGTGTGCTCAGAGTCAACGCGATCCTTAGCACTTGTCCACCCTGTGAATAAGAAGTCATGCAAAAGTCAAAACGCTGTATCTTCTGGAGAAATGTGTATCAAAGAAAGTCTAGAACAAAGAATGGAAAAAGCAAAAGGTATCGTTTCATGAAATATATGTAAATCATTTATTAATAACAGTTGTAGAACTTGAATTCTGCAACAAGAAATATCTCAGAAGGATATCGTGCAATATTAAATGATACATTATGAGAGAAAACTTCAAGTTTCAAGCATATTCTACTTTAAGATATAAGGATTTTATCATATATTAATATATATCTGATATATTTTATTCGAATAAAAATGACGATATTCGGGGATTGTATTGTAAGGTCAATGTAATGTCAATAATACTTACACCTTCGCCCAAACTGCCGTCTATCTGTACGAGGGACGACATGACACGACGATACCTTAACATCCAAGACAGTCTATCATGTTAAAGGAACACCGGCTCTTTCGCATTCATTCACAGCTTGCGAATTTCTAAAAAAAATATCCGCGTTCAGCAAAAGAATTTAATGAGCGCTTAGCATAGGGTGCAAACCATTCGACGCTGCAAATGTTTTGAAACGCCATATGGACCAACCATGGCTCTTTGGACATTTCAAAGCGTTTGCAGCGTCTAAGGGATCACAACCGTAACATAGGGTGCGTTCCATTAAACACTCGCAACGTTCACACTTTTAAAGTCCGTATCAGGTTGCTTCTCCATGTGGCGTAACTTGCGTCAGCCAATCAAATCGTCTCAATTACCCAATTACCAATTATCACGATAGATTTGATTGTATGAAGTAAATTACGTTTACTGAAGTTATTTCGCACGAGGAGGCACCCTTACCAACAGACTACAAGAGTTTCTAAAGGCATTTTAAAACTCTCGTGAGCACTGTGGCTCTGGGACCTCTGGGAACACTTACGCATGCGTACTTAGCGAGCTCGTTTCGACCCGCAAAATTTTGAATTTATTTTTGGGACTTAGGGAACATTTTCTACAGGTGAAAAACTTTCGATTAAGCCAAAAAAAAGAATCGATTTTTTGAAGTTGCTACACCAGGCTACCCCCTTAAGGCTGGTATTACATGTCGTGCGACGAGTTTGTTGGAGTTATGCCGATTGGCGTTTAGAAATTTAGAGACCCTTGAAATTCTTTATCCAACAGCCAATCAACATCTGATAATGCTCGTCGTACGACGCGTGTAATATCAGCCTAAGGCTGGCGGTCTTTATTCTTACCTCGTCAATGGTGTATTTATTTCGCGATTATAACGATTTTAAATTTTGAATTTTGTACATACATGCACGACTGTACGCATTTGACAGTAATTACTTAAAAAATAAGTATTTTAGAGTAGTATTTTGTTACTTCAGAAGGAACAGATACTCGTAAGAAAAATATAAGATAAAGCTCCTGATATTTACTACACGGTACAGTGACTGTTTTCTCTCGTTTGTTATATTATCATACTTTACCAATCCGTAAAAGTCAACGCACAGGAAAGCATGGGGTGTGAGTTACATTTGGAGATATGTCAACATTCCTACAGGTATTATTTATACTACATTCTATAATTTTATCTCATCAAACTCACTTGATAATATTTCTGTTTATGCACTCTTTCACCAAGTTGCAACTTTCGCTGAAATAATAAAATGCAACATATTAAAATCGTCATTGTTAATTGTAATTTAACAATTTGCAAATTTGAGTTAAAAATTTAGTTCAAAGTATCGTTCTTAAAAGTCTGTTTAAGAAAGAAGGCTTACAGAGATTTACATTTTACTATGACTTAATGAAATTGTACAATTTGCTCATATTTGTTCCAGTACTTTATCGAAGGAACAAATTTTAGAAGCTGTTAACACAGAGCTCTCAACGTGGTTGGAAATTTATCTTGATACTATTATATATGGTAAAGATTGCACAAATCTTGTATTAAAGGAACATGTCGAGTCTATGGTATGCTCAGATTATAGCAGCCTTGAGGTATTGTCAATCATATTAACTCTTTTTCATACCAACTTGTTACTTAAATCATGTCTTGTGCTTGCATTAAATATATGCTAATGTATTTAAATATGTGAATATATCAAATTTTTTTCAGAAAGAAAAGGTCTATATTCAAGAGGCTGTATTTAAGTTTTACATCTACAGTTTGACACAAGAGATGGCTGCAACAGAAACATTGCAGAGTGACTCTGAGGAACTGTCGGTTGCATCTCACTGGGTGTTACCTTCGATAGAATTTCATCACATATGGCAACATTTGTTTTATGATAGTAATATAAAGAACGATGTTAGTGAAGTTATGCACATAATGCAATTAATTTTTATATATTGCACTTAATCACAGGATAGTTGCAACATTTTTTGTATAAACTTTGTAATGCATGCTATGTCCAATAAGAGAATTCGTTTTTCAATAATTCTCAGGAAAACGTTTTCATATTTGACGTGAGATGTGTTACGAAACTCATTGAAACAAGTGTTGCAACCGTCCTGTGACTGATCGTATCGTGGAAAACTGTTTTTCTTTTGGGAATATATTTTCTGCGCAATAATCTTGAATCACTTTTTCTTCTTGTAGTTGTTGCATTATGTGGAGACAACAATGTTATTTTCTGATCGTGGCGTTAATTCTAATGTTATAAGTTGGAATAAAGTAATATTGCTGCACGGTCCTCCAGGTACAGGAAAGACCAGCTTATGCAAAGCTTTGGCTCAAAAAGCTGTCATTCGTATGAGAGATTATTTCACTCATGGAGAATTCATCGAAATTAATAGTCATAGTCTATTTTCTAAGTGGTTTTCCGAGGTAAGACTTTTTTTTCTTATCTATCTTTATCCGTAAGGTTTCTATTTCTTGAAAAACTTATATTCTATTGTTTTTCTCACTTAGTCGAGCAGGGAGTTACTATATTGTCTAATGTCAGATAAATCTGTATTTTGTTGCAGAGTGGGAAGCTCGTTATGAAGCTGTTTGACGAGATAAGAAATCTGGTCCAAGACACAAAAGCACTGATATGCATTCTGATTGATGAAGTAGAATCGTTAGCGCACGCACGTAAATCGTGCGCTAATGGTACCGAACCGTCTGACTCTATACGTGTTGTGAATGCTTTACTTACACAATTAGATCAAATCAAACGATATCCGAACGTTTTAATTCTAACGACGAGTAACATGACGGAAGCTATAGATCTCGCGTTCGTCGATCGAGCGGATATAAAACAATACCTCGGATTCCCGTCGGAAGTGGCTATTTATCATATTTACCGCTCGTGTCTACGAGAATTAATGAGGGTATATTTATATTCTTTAGCTTTATCATATATGATAATGTATAAATTATTAATAGTAATGTAAAATAATATAATAGTAGTATTGTGCTCTCTTCTTAGTATTCTAACATTTGGAAATTTTCTATGTATTTCTGTTATTAAAATAAGTTATCTAGCTTTTAATAAAATATATCCTGTAATATTAAAATTAATTAATATTACTCCTTATGCGTGTTGCAGACTGGTGTCTTGAATCATAAAGAGATATGTGACATATCAGAGTTAAAAATGCTTGGATATGAAGAAACTTCAAACACCAAGAACAGCTTGAAACTGCTGGAAATTTGCCGGGCGAGTGTAGGTCTAACCGGCCGTGCCTTAAGAAAGATGCCATTTCTCGCACATGCTCTTTATTTATCCGGAGTCTCGATTTCGTTGTCTCAATTTCTGAAAGCGATGCAATTAGTGATCGAAAAACGGAAAAGAGAAAGTTTACAATGATGATGAGCGCAGATAAAGAGGAAAATCGTTCCCTTCTATTTATTATTGATAGGACGATTGTTACATGTTATTTATGAGTATTAAATGACAGTACTCGTGAAATATACTTATCGACTAATTGAGCCATTTATTTCGAGTCATTTTATTTATTGTTCATTACATCAAACATATGAGGTAATGAATCGGTTGCGACGTCCTGTGACTGATCGTATCGTGGAAAACTGTTTTTCTTTATCGCATTTTCTTGGATGGTTTGTTTCGATGCTTAACACATGCATACGAGAAACCTTTCATATAAAAAATACTTCTTATTTTTAGCTGCTTTACAACGTATATAAAATAAGTAAAATGCCGTAAGAGGGGACACTTCCTCGTGTTCTCTTATAAGAATCTTGTATTTGCTTCATAGGAAGCAGACATTCTATTTCCTTCGACCAAAATCATGTTTGTTTCGATATATAATGATAAATAAACAGTTGCTGTTCCTTTATTCTATCATGTGGATATCCTTGTTACATGGATGAGTGTTGTAATTTCCGAAATAAATAAACTAAGAGACCGATGAAAGACTTCGTTGAGAAGCAAGTATCAAAAATAGTGTTTAAATAAAAGGCTTAAGCCGCTCTAAAATTACATGATTTTTAAAGGCATCTCTAAATAATTTTTTATTGTAGCGGTCACGAATCGAGGTACGGCCGACGTCGATGTATACCGTACTATGCCTTAGATCGAAAGTTACACGATCTTCATCAAAACCTGCGCTAAGCCCTGGGACGAACTTGACGGATGTTGGAATAAGCATCGGATCAGCACAGCGTCAGTTTCCTTCCAAATTTTCATCTCTAGAATACTTGAAATTTGCCAGGTCTTTGGTTTATCCATCTCTCGTACCATCTTGTTCTGCATCAACGATTCTACTTGTAAGTCTCCTATGAACCTGTCCGAAACATTTCCATGTTACATTGAAATAGAATTGATATATATTTAAATATATATACATATTAAATATATTCCATGCATATTTTTCTTTCTTTCACTCGTGAATTCTTCGTTAATTCCCGGGTTAAACCATTAGGATTCAATTTTAGTTTAGAACTTTTTTTATCGAGCAAGTTCTGGGTATTTGTAAGAATCGATATTTAATGTCTACACAATATGATGTCATTTTAAAGATGTATTATAAGAGATGTCTAAAAAATTATCTGGATGACGTCTTTGTTATGTCTTTCAAGCGTCTTACGTCCCGATTTGGGACGTATTAAAGGCGTGTTTAAAATTTAAGAGATACAAATCTTATTATTTAAATATAAGAGATGAGGGAGAATATGTTTTTCTTCATTTCTGTTTACTACGTTTTCTCCTCTTCTATGTGCGGTTGGTTAAGAATTACGATTAGATTATAAGTATATCATGAATTCATTCATCCTGTTTAAGTCAAATTTAAATATCGATGATAACTATTGTCTGACAACATGCTGCGGTTGAGAATTGTGATTAGATTATGGGCTTGTCATAAACTCATCCGGCTTGTTAAAGTTAAGATTCAATATTGATGATTATTTTTATCTGGCATGCTACCAAATAGCATACGGTTCGAATTGTGTGTATGACAAGAAGATAAATATGACCCGGCACAGTGACTCAGATAACAAACTGACCAAGTCATATGAATAGAAATTCATGGTTAAAATATAAATTTTTCTAAAGTTAAAAAATGTGTATTTTCCACGTTTCTTTCAATTTTTACCTAAAGTCTGGGTCACAAACATTTTGTTTTCTAATTTTTTATTTATTTCCAATGTTTTCTTATTTTTTCTTTTTGCATCTTTTTTATTGCCATTCGACGTAATGTTAGCGTTAAGTCATTCTGATGATATGCACATTTTAGAACTGTGTACTTTCTTACCACGTAATGAAGCCAGGTGGATTTCCGTGGTTCACTATGCAGGTAATCGCGATAAAAAAAAAACCATATATGCTGCGATATGCTATCCCTCTCGTAGCGTTATGACATTATTTACCGGTGTAAATAACTCCCTGATATATCAGGATAGATGGATCAGGTTTCGCTGGAACACTCATTATGATGCATTCATGTGAGATAGGTACAAAATTATCGCGACAAAGTCATCTTGTTCTTCTGTGCAATAAACAGAACTTCTGTAACTTTTACAGCTGAACAGATAATTGAGAAGGTAAATGGATCAGGACTATATGCTGTATTCATTGAAGAAATGTATTTATATGTCTGATATCTAGCTTATATTAAATATTTTGGTCGTTCTCCTTTATGAAAAATGTTTTTTTTTTTAATAAATAAGTTTAAATTAGAAAAAAATGTATTAATACAAAACGACTCTCTCCCTATTTNATAAGTCCAAAGACCTATTAAAAAGCAGATGTATTTCACATTTCGAAATTAGCAAAAAAATTCTGATAGATCCTATATGGTTTTTTTTTTTTAATACGGCCACTATTAGTTATATTGTGAAACATGCGAGGCTTGGAAATTAGCATTATTTAATACGAAGATCATTTACAGTTGATAGACGGATTACAGAGAAATTTCTAAAATTGTTTCTCAGTGGTTAATTTTTATAATATATCACTTTTATCTATCCATTTCTTCAACTTTAATCACGATTTTATCGTTACTTCGTGAGTAAATACAAAATAAATAATTGTTCAAGACATCGAATGAACTTTATTGTTACATAAAGAATATAAAATTGCGGGCTGGAATAGGACGTCAAATTTCTCTGTAATCCGTCTATCAACTGTAAATGATCTTTGTATTAAATAATGCTAATTTCCAAGCCTCGCATGTTTCACAATATAACTAATAGTGGCCGTATTAAAAAAAAAAACCATATAGGATCTATCAGAATTTTTTTGCTAATTTCGAAATGTGAAATACATCTGCTTTTTAATAGGTCTTTGGACTTATCCCTGTATATTATTTCTAAAATTATTATAATCTTTCAATTTCTATTTAATTATAAGAAAATAATGTTATCGTAAAGTTCTTATTAAAATGTTTAGTAGCTCGAAATGATCGTACTCAGTTCTTTTCTAAGAAAAAGTAAAGCAGCTCCTCCTTATACATGCATGTCTCTTCATTCTGTTCTACATGCAACGTCATGTTTTTTATCTTCTACTATCATTCAAGCGATTAGATTCATTTTTTTTTTTTGTGAAGGACCATCTTTCAAGAATGTGAATCTATGGGGATTTTGTTTTCGTTCAACGCGTATAAAAGTTATGAATTTTTTTCTTTTCAAATGGGAAAATCGTATGTTTCCCTCCTAAAAGAAAAAGATGTTATAAACATTGAAGGTTAAATGACGCTTATAACAGGAAATCGAGGCCTGAAATAATGTCGAAATATTTTTTTCCGACTTCTTTTACTCATACACAGCGAGAAAAATGATTCTGCCCAGAAATGACTCACGAATCGTACATGTTGCGAATCGAGCGAAGCTCGACCGCCGGGTTGCAGTGCGACAGGCGCGAGAGTCTCGCGCGCGCTGCACCCTCGCCGCCGTAGCTAGCGGCGCACGTCGCCAGATGGCGCGCCGTCCGAGTAATTAACCGCGAGCGAGTTCGCACGCTGGCGGATATATAAGAGCGCTCCGTAGGAGTGCTCGAGGAGACCGTTTTCGTCTGCCATAGCATTCAGGTTGACGGAACGGTGAGCGAGCGCATAGCGCCTGTTTTTCGAGTGTGTGTGTTTTTGGGGGGAGGGGGGGTACTGTGTACGATCGTCGTCTTCCGCTCCTCCACCTTTCAAAATACCCTCTTCCCCCAGTCAACCAATATTCACCTTTCAAAATACCCTCTTCCCCGGTCAACCAATATCCACCTTTCAAAAATACACCCTCTTCCCCGGTCAGCGAATAATCCGCCTTTCTGAATTACCCTCTTCCCCCGGTCAACCAATATCCACCTTTCAAAATACCTCCCGGTCAGCGAGAATATCCACCTTTCTGAGTTTAGCCCTTTCCCCGGTCAGCGGAATATCCACCTTTCTGAGTTAGCCCCTTCCCCCGGTCAGCGAGAATATCCACCTTTCAAAATACCCTCGTCGTGCCGGAATCTTGTTTCCGCGGTCCCGTTTATAACTTAAATTGAATGAGAATGGTTGTGTGAGAACACACATATTATATGCGTTCATAGCCTAAATTGAATGGTTGTGTGAGAACGTGTAATAATGCGTTTATAGCCCTCAAAGGGTTAATGAGGATATGTATTTTATAGTTCTTAGCTCTATCATACGTAATAATACGTATAAACACTCATTAATAAGTTAATAATAATAGTAACATTGTTCTCATTTTTAAAAAATATTTTATTTCTTATATTACATATACTATATTATATGTTACACAGGAATTTCCTATGTATTTTATTGTAATTTCCTAAGATTTTATTATTATAAGTTTTTGATGAAATATATTCCGCAATGTTAAAGTAATATTATTCCTTGAGCATGTGTAGACTAATGTCTTAAGTCACGAAGAGGTACGTGACACATATCGAAGTTAAAAATGTGCTTGATATGAAGAAATTTAAGCACCAAGAACACTTTCAAACTGATAGAAATTTGCCGCGTTAAAATGAGCCTGATCTGCCGTGCTATTTTTGGCACAATCAATTTCGTTGTTTTAATTTCCGAAAGCGATGCAATTATCGATTCAAAAACGTAAAAAAGACTCGCGATAAACGGAAACAGAGAGAAAAATCGTTTTCTTCTTTCTCTCTTTGTTATTAGTAAGACGATTGTTGTAATTTACTTATGCGTCTTAAATGATAGTCCTCGTTAATCATACTTATCGACTAATTGAGTCATTTATTTCGAACATTAATAAATTTAGGTGTTCGAACATCAATAATATCAGGTGTTCCGTGCGGCTGAAGCGACTAAATCATTGATCTCTTTTAATATATTAAAAAACAGAACACCATTTCACTTATATAAAATCTAAAGTCTCAATTGATCTTACATTTGATCTTCACAAGGAAACACGAACGTCGTTATCGAACCGTTAATTCAACCGTCAATAAAAAAATCACACTAGAGTGAATATATCGAAATATATCCCGATTTTATTCTAATTTTAATCTCTAATTTTAATATGTCGCAATTTTAATCGCAGATAACATCCTCGCTAGGTAAACAGATGACAGACCGATGAATCGGTTTCATACTCAGTCTCGTAAACAGATAATGAAAGGACGCAACTGTGTCTGAAACATAAAATCTCTTTTCCAGCTGCAGCTTAATCCAAGCATCATCGAAATATGAAACTATACACATGTACCGTTTTCGCAAAATCCATCTAGCATTTTGCGTTGCTCCTGCTGGCGCACAATCGCCATTAAAGTCATCGAGATGCAACCTGCTATGAAAGTCACGCTTCGTTCCGCACCGAAGACGCGGACTGTACTCGTCGTCGGTGCGATGGGATATAAAAAGAAGTTTTTCTGTACAATTTTCTGTACAACGCATTTCTCGCGACGTGTCTCGATCTATTCGGGTGCGCTTAAATCACTATTGTAGCCTCATCACGATAAAGTATGTAACAATAACACGATAATAAATAACTTATAAATCCGGGAAAGGAAGGGGGAATTGTTTAACGATATATTACATATAAAAACAATGGATAGTTCTGCACTTCGTTCGCTTCGTCGATAAGTGATCCCGATGCAAAATTCGACGCGTGTACACCTGTACCGTACCGTTGATAAACCGTTAACAAAAAACATCCAGAGTCACGATACACTCTTTTTTCCTAATTCTAATCTAAACAATTTTAATACGTCCAATACGTTGTGTAGATTTACGCATCACATCCTTGTTTTTGGATGTCGAATTATCGACATAATATCTGGAATAGGCATTCCACGAGGGGATCTAATGTGTGTAATGACAGGTATTCAACATGCGCGCAAACAAAGCGAACATGTGTCGTCAGCCGAATGATGGCGAATCGCGCCGATAATAACTCGAATGTCTTTTCACCGCAAATCGGCACACCCATTTTGTTGAAATTAACAATACACACTGCGTCATGAACGCTTCACCGTATTTTGGATCGAGAGTTATACGATTTTCAGCCTTACACATGTGTATGCGTAAGGTCGAGAATCACGTAACTCGCGGAAAAGGTAATTATGTATGAATTTTGTCTATATATAATCCTATATAATTATATATGTCCTACATCTAAAAAATACCGTTATACAAATATAATTGAAGTAAATGCTTATGTTTATGGCTGTCCACAATACAAACACTTAAATCAATTAAAATATTTCCTCCGCTTTTCATTCAACGGTATTTTTATTTCGTACCAATATATATATATAGCCATATAAAAACAAAATCCATATATAAATTAAATACGATTATATATAATTTTATGTGTTTATATATAATCTTTTATTCCTGGGTAACTTCAATTTTAATGATAAGACTTGACGCAATGTGTACGATGGTTCAGGCATCCTTATGTCGATGCGTCAGGTCGACGTGAGGAAAAGGCACAAGTATATCGAGAAGTAGAAGGAATCAGTCGATTAGAGACACGAGATTCGCCGTCAACGGGAATTCATGTCCGGTCGGCAGTGAGTCGAGGTCTCTCTCACTGTCTTTTATACGATGGTGGGCGATTGCAGGACCACTGGCGCCCTTCTGACCTTCAGCGCTTCCGGGCTCATGGAACGAATCTGCTTCACTGTATGAGTGTAGTCGTACGTGTTCTGCTCGCTGTCCATGTTCGGCTTCCTCGCGAAGGTCTTCGCATGGGTGACCGAGTTGATGGACTTTTGCCGATCACCGTTGTTATACAGCGCGTCCGCCGCTATGCTACCATCCTCCTCCGACTCTTGGCGGTACCGTCGACGTCGCCATCGTAATAGGGCCCACACACCGATACTGATCAGTGTCAACATTAATAGCAGAGTGACCATCACGGCGACTCCTATGATGCGCGTCTCGCTGGAGTCTCTCACTTCCAATTTGATCCTCGTCGAATCCTCGCCATTGTCGCTCCGCACCGTCAGGGTGTACATCCGGGCGTCCTCTTTCTGCAGATCCTTCACGTCCAGCTGAGCCGAGTAGCAGTTGCTCATCATCCCGCTCTCGATGACCGGCTCCAACGGCAGGGCCTCGTACTTCGGATGAATATGCTCTCCTGTGTTAAAAGTGTGACAGAAAAAGATTCATAAGTCGTACGGGAGACTTTTCAACAGGTTCACTTGATCGTCACGTTGATCGCAACTCGTGAATTCCACTGGGATTTTAAATCTCGGTGTGTCGATACGTTCCGTGCCGCGTCTACCACCGGTTGTATACGCCAAGCTTTCCCTCAGGTCAGCTTAATATTTTCGCACCAAAACGACATGTAATCATTAAATATTTTGATAATTATTATGATACATATTATGTGGCAAATAAAATTTGGTTCATAACGAGACGTGGGCCGCGAGAAGTCGCGTAAAATTGGTCCGGCACGGAACGTGTTAAATACCCGGCAAAGCAATTCCTAATCCCGCAAATAAAACCGTCGCCCACAAACGAGGGACAAGGCACCTGCGGGAACACAGGTACACCCGTGGACAATGATTCGCCCCTCCCTGGATCCAGTGAAGCAAGTCCAAAAAATGCTTACTGTGCTCTGATCTGACCAGAAGAATCCGTTAATGTAAAAACCAAATTAGGCTATTGAAAATTGCTACTTGACCAATCGGGATAACACGAGTCAAGGTCGAAACTATTTATATATCGAATCCCGATTCTTAATTCGCAACCCTTAATCCTCCGCAATAAAAAACTCTGATACGAGTTTTACGTGATGATTCCTTTAGACAGAACAGGATAAGCATCTTTAGGACTGGCTTTGCTAGACCCAGATAGTGCAAGACGTCCCAAAATGATCCAGGATGTGTCCAGGACGCTCTGAGGAATAACTCAAGACGTCCTGAACACAAAACGACTTTAGGACGTTTTGTATAACGCGACGGTCAACGTGTTATCTCTGAAATGGATCCATCGTACCTGCTCGAATCTGATTACTGCCCCATTCCCACGTAACCAGTTTCGGCGGCGGTTGCGAGCAGACTCGGGACTTGAGTCTATGCGCGCGCTCGCCGATCCAACCGATCGACACGTGGTTGGGCGACGTTTCCTGAATCTCCGGCGGCCCGGTCACGTGTAACGTGTAACGTCGTTCGCTGTAAGTCTCCTTTATCACGCCATTGATCGTGTTGTACGCGACGCAGCGATATTCGCCCTGGTCCGACCATGTGATGCGCTCCAGACGAAGACGCCGACTGCTGCTCTTCGTCTGGCCTTTGTTCTTCGCGAACCCCGTTGACTTGCCGCGAGGATGTATCCAGCGATATTGCGCGGGCGGGTTGGCGTCGAACTCGGGACACTCAAACGGTTCCACTGTGATTCCCACTTGCACCGTGTCCACCACGTTCAGAGCGCTGTTGGGGTCTTCGGCTATCTTTAATCTCGGTTTGTCTGCGCATAAACGTCGCTAGCGTTATCTTACGGGATCTTGAGTCGGTGCTGGTGCTGTCAATCTCGACCTAAGTGCTCGGGTTTTTCAAGATTACCCAGGTAACTGAATATACGACTAATCACGATATTATAAATCATTGATTTTTTCACGATAATAAACAAATGAATGCAGACTCGTAAATGTTTACTCGTTATTATTTTCTGACTACCGGGGTGGTATCCGCGAGTGTGTATACCCGGGTACTTTCGGAAGACGCGGCTACCTAAACCCACAGTTATTACCCGGGTATTGAAATACTTAGATTATATTGGCAGTATTAGTAGGCGATTCGAGAGTATCTTCACTCTGCCGTGTCGAAGTTTCGAAGTCAAGCATAAAATCGAGAAAAGTAGAGAGAGAGTGAGCGCGCGTGAGAGAGAGAGAGAGAGAGAGGAAAGTTCTAACTTTCACAGTATATAACATAATATACAATCGCGCGTAACACAACTGTACACGTAACTGTACACGTAACTGTACACGCGTCTCTATCGAGGAAGAGTCGCGCGAGGAGTCGGCATCGCCACCGTGACTGCGAACATACCGTATCATTGCGCGAAGGAGGATGTCAAACGACATGCATACAGACTGTGTTCTGAAGTGAAGAAGCCGAGGAAAAAGTGACACGGTGGTGTGGAGAAAGATAGCGTATGCAGCAAGCAAGGTATAATTCAACGAACATTGCACGTCCAGCCTGTAACTCGCGGAAGCGCTTTCACCGATGACGTTGTACGCTTTGCACGAGTACATCCCGCCGTGTTGTATCCTGACCGGCTTGAAAAGCATCTCGGATGTCTGTCGGCTGCGGCCGTTACTCTGCGTGCTGTTATATGTCAGCAGCGATATCGTGGCGTCGGTCGACAGGTCCAGCAGTATCGAGTCTTTGAACCACTTGATGTTGGCGGCCGGATTAGCGTCCGCCAGGCACTTCAGGCTCAAAAAGTTCTCCGAATCCTCCGGCGCTATAGTGAGCGGCTGCAGATTCGACTCGATCTGCACTTCCGGCGAATCTGTACGTTTTCAGAGAAATCACGCTGTTATTAAACACACATGTCACGAAAAGCTGCTCGTTAGTAGTTAATATGATGATGTGTAATGGAGAATATTTTGCATGGATATTCTAGCCTGGCGTGAGAATATTCTTACGATAATGCCGGTTCCTCTCAGATTTCTACAACGGCGACTGTAAAATTAATTGGGCACATTGAGTTGTACACTGGGAAAAAAATCTTTGGTATTCGTGATCGGAAAACACTAATATAAGCGCTGTCATGGTATGCCCTGTTGAAAACAATCAGATAGGAATCCATGTTGGAAATCTATATGGAATCCTGTGGTTGCTCCCGGAGATTTACGTCAAAAATCCAAGTCCTAGACAGAAATCTGTGTGGATTCATACATGGATTTTTATTATTCTATATATGGATTCATATGAGTTTTCATGGATTTCCATGAGAATCACCTAGAAATTTTTAACAGGGTGATTAATAAATAACTTTATATGCTTATTTCTGCTTGCTTACTTATATCTGTTGGTAAAACAAAAAGATATTATTGACTCCAAGATAGAAGCTACAATTCGAAATTGACTATAAAAGGTTAACCATTTTTTCTCTCAGTGTACGACTACTACTGAGTACTATTCTTTTTAGCTAAAGTAGTTTGCACTTTTGCCGTTAGAAAATGAAGCAAATATATAACGTAGCAATATGAAGAAAAAAGAAATGAAATTTCAGTGCAGTACTGGTTCAGTTAAAAAGAATCTGTTTCGCACGCTCAGATAGGGTGGAGAAGCGAGCGCCGATTCAGATGCCGAAATTTGGCGGAGAGTTGGCACGCGCCACGTAGGAGACCCCGTCCGGGTCGACGTCGTCCTCGTCGTTGACGCGAGAGCACGAGCGCGCGAAGGGCTCGTCCCTTTTTGCCCACGGTCGCGGTGCCTGAACAAGGTTCGATGCGAAACTGCGAGTTCTCACCAAACGGCCGATCACGCGTTATCGCGTCATAGATATTTAGTTAAGAGTACTAAATCCTATGTACATGATAATAAAAGCATATAAATAATATATATTAACTTATTTTGACCACAATAAAACTAAAAAAAAAATAAAAAAAATACGAAATTCCAATTTTCATCTTGGCAATGAACGTATTAAAAGGTAGTGAAGAGACTCCCACAAAAAACTGACCGTACAATAGCCGAAAAACACATTCGAAAAAGAGACGCTATGCGCTTGTTCACCGTTCCGTCAACCTGAGCGCTGTGGCAGACGAGAACGATCTCCTCGAGCACTCGTACGGAGCGCTCTTATATATCCGCCAGCGTGCGAACTCGCTCGCGGTTAATTACTTGGACGGCGCGCCACCTGGCGACGTGCGCCGCTGGCTACGGCGGCGAGGGTCCAGCGCGCGCGAGACTCTCGCGCCTGTCGCACTGCAACCCGGCGGTCGAGCTTCGCTCGAATTACCTATTATATTATATATATACTACTCATCATCAATAATGACATTTGTGATCGATTCAGCACACTTATAAAATACTCCAAAATACTCCTAAAGTACTCTTTTCCTTTTGTTCTAACAATCAATCAATAACCGTGAATAAATGATTAATATACAACCTTCTCTTTTAATCTATCTTTTCTTATACTTTTGGCACGTTATTTTGTAGCGTTAATTTTATAGCCAAGTTTAATTAATTTATTTTATAGGTATATCAATATTTTTATTTAAACGTATAATTCCGCAAGAATTCTGAACATGGATTTTCTCGCTTCTGATAAAACAATATGTTTGTAGTGAGTACACCGAAACCTTATGAAAGGCAATTAACTATTAATTATGATGATAAACAAAAGAGCAATTAATCATCAGTCGTTTTTCTGCAAGGATAGAATTTGAGTGCTAGAAATTTGCAGGATCTGTCGAGTGTAAGTACTTATTGAGCTGTGAATGAAATACGAAATGGAAATCGTGCATTTTCCACTCGTCCTAGCCTACCGTCATCATGCGATCAGTATGATTCGTTATATCGAGTGCACGTACATTGTATGTTCAACCGGGACTCCACGTAGCTGTGGGACGAACTCGCCTGATGCTCGGCCACACATCGGAGCAGCATACCGTGATTTTCCCTCTGACCGTACAGCCGTAAAAGACTGTTAACATCCCAGGTCTTCGGCTTGTTCGTCACCGACATGTTTTTCTGCTTGACCAAAGGTTCTCGTTCTTCGTTCCCTATATACCTATCCAAACATATTTCCTAATATTATATCGATATTATAAGACGTGAGAGTTATTTAAATATAAATATTCAAAGTGAGAGAGAGAGGGAGAGAAAGAGGGAGAGAGAGAGAGATCATGTGTTTCTTTCACTTGTAAAATTTTCATTGACTCCCAGATCACCTCACATCAGGGTTTACTCTTGATCTTTCTTTTTCGAACAGTTCTATGACTAGTTGTAAAAATTGATATTTAATAAATAATAAAATAATAAAATAATAATAATATAAATTGTATCGTCATTATACTATCAGTATTATATCGTCTTAGTGATGTACAGAAAATGCCATATAATTCGAGAGATGTTTTGTTATCTGGGAGATAAATTTACTTAATATTTCTATTACATTTCTAAAACATGTTTTGTTCCGATTTGTGAATGATGTTATAGATGTTCGGGACATTAAAATTTACTTAAATTAGGTTTCGATAATAACTGCTTTCTGACAGCACGTGTGTTACCAGACAGCATATGGTTCTCTAAAGAACCGCGTGTACGGAAGAAAAGGAAATATGATCCGGTGCAGTAATTCAAACAGAAAACTGACAGAGTCACATGAGTAGAAATTCATGGTCAAATTACAAGTTTTTCTCCAGTTTCCATATATTTCCCGCACATAACGCTCACAATGATCAATAGGTTGTTATAATAGCCAGCAGATATATAACTGTATTATTACCGCCTTAACAAAAAAGTATTACTGGCTGTGATAAATTGTCCGGTGATAACTTATCGTTACTCAATAGTTTGATCACTCGTATGGATAATAAAATAATTGAACAATAATAATTTATATCCCTGGTCAATTTTTACGCAGCCAGTAATACTTTTCTCTAAAGACGATAACGTAGAAAATTACGTATGTAACCCGGAAAACGTTTTATAAAATACTATTTTAAGTTCACAATGATCGCTCTTATACAAGATGCTTTAAAGACAGTCTTACGATTAGATAAGCATGCTGCCCGGAACTGATTTATTCTCTTTCAAAGATATCTTTGAAGAAAAGAGAGAGAGAAGAAAAAAGAGAGAGAAAAATTCACTTATTTCCCCATTAAATAAGCTAAATTAATAATTTAATTTAATTAATACCACGATGGTCACCGTGGATTAATTTAAATTTATTTCCACGTATCTTCAACGAGGGGACACAGAAGAAACATTCGAGAGAAACAGTCTCCTGGCGCACAAATGTCGGGCCTTTCTCACTTTTTGTTACTGAAAAGTGTTTCGACGAGACACTTCGTGAGCACGTCCGGCGTGGGCGATCTGCCATCTGTCGAGCCGACGGGTTCGACGCTGCGTTACGCAGAAGAAACAGGGGATGTCCTCCGGAAACGCTCGCGACGTCCGTTATTAGCCGGCGACACGGTGTCTCGGCGTACGCAGCATCGTTTCCGAGTGATCCCCGACATGATCCATCGGTTTCCGCTAAACGCGCCTTCGCGGCAAGAAGGAAAGGAAAAAGGTACGAACGGCGTACCCGAAGGTCCGTACCCTTTTCTAACATGATTCACAGAGGCGCGGAGCGGCGGCGAGACTACGCTCGCGGCCAGTTTCTCCGTTTCTACGGCTATAATCTACATAATTATACTCGGCACACAGCCCCGTGTCCGCAACGCGAAGAAAAAGGTACCACCGGGCAGGAATCGTTAAACCGCGCGGCTATTATCGGTCGTAAAAGAATACGCGCGCTCGATATTGTTTCGAGGCAAGTCCCGGCCGGACGAATTCTTCATTAGGACCTCAGTGAGCCTAAATCAACGCGTGGGAACAGCCGGACGTCCCTGTTCCGCCATCCAATATCCGTCGGATAATCCAGTCGTCGGTGGTTGACCATTTTGTTTCTTCGGAAAAATCAAATCTTCATGGTCGATGTTAGGATTGGACGTTTATGCGTATATAATTAACGCATAAATAGTGGGTGCGTTCGGGGAGTGCGCTATCAGTGCTAAAAAGTCATCTTATTCTTGTTTTGTATCTAACGAGCAATAAAGTGACGTTTTAGCGCCGGTAACGCGTTCTTTGAACGCACTCAATGTAAGCCATATATAATATTTCATCTGTGTGTACGCAATAAATAATTTACGAACTATTATGGAACAGTTCGTCTTTTTCTTACATTGAGGAAAGTTTCCATCAAATAAACGGATTAAATGATACGTCCGATTGTTGTTCTTATTGTCCGAACAGGTGATGGTTATCTTTATCCTTTAACGGTGGACGTTATGACGTATTCGATGATTATTGATGCAGTTACCGATAAAACCTAATCGGAAAATTAATCGCCCTTTATACCTCCGTAATTTTTCTCGGATAAAAGCACGACTTGATCAAATAAAATGACGAAATGATCGGATGTAGTTTGTTACTTTTAATTGGATTATCAGACATGATCGGATATTCTTCTCGAGTGTACATTTCATAAGTCTTATTTTTATATTTCGTTTTTGTTAAAAGCTCGCGGGTAAACCTGAATGATAACATTGGTATTTTAACAGCCTGTAGTTTTAGCACATATACACCTTTTATATCGCTATGTAGATATTTTAAATATGCGTAAAGTGGATTATGTCTGACTTAATCCAATTTAACATATTAAAAATTAGTGAAATTATTCGGTTTAAACATAACGGAACAATTTCCGTGTTTTACGATGCCACGATAAATCAGTAGTGGATTCGATGAACTTGACTTCACGCTGACAAGAAAAGGAAAATAAATATTAGGTATATATTGTGCCTGTTGTAACCACGAACTAAAATTCTGCCTTTTCCTGTTTAAAAACCTACAGGTGAGTTTAAAGTGATAAGATCTCTGCGTTACCTGCATGTACACCAACTTTCTAATCTTTAATATTAAATGTCTTCATAATTAACACCAAGATCGGATATGTGAGTTATTTTATAGTTTAAATTAGACTAATAATTTATCCTTTCTCTTTGCTGCGTAATTTATCATATTTTATATAGTTCTCACATTGTCTACCGTGAAAAGAGTCCGTGTAAATATCACGTGGACGATACCGTGAATTATCTACGTGATCTTAAAATCTGCACAACCGTGGTCGACGTCATGTAGTGGCGCGAAGTCGCGCAAACCTAAATCAACATCGGGCCCTCATTTTATCGAGATATGTTCACGGAGATAGACATCCGACAGATTGGGCGTCCCGGAGGCGTCGTTTGCGTTGTTCGACGAGCCCTTCTTCGCAAGTTGCTGGCAATAACGGCGGACGTTGTATCGGCGCGCGCGCGAGCGAGGGTTCGCAGTGTTCTGTCAAAGGGACCCTTCATTAACGATCCTCTTGTGAAGTAGTACATATGCCGCCACGTTCGGGGGATAAATAACACACCCGCCACCGCTGCTGCTGTTGCCTCTTCTCCTTCTTCTTCTCCTTCTTCTTTCTCTCGGTGGCGAGGGCATGCGCTTCCCGAAAGAAGCGCGTGCCGTTCGACCAGATGTTTTACATCGTAAGAATATAGATAAGGCGCGGCTAAATTCAGTAGAGCGTAAAACAAAACGACGATCCCACCGCTCGACGGCCCTTCCCTGCATAAGCATAACGCGCGTCACGGCTTCTTGCGGCAAGCTAGGCCAGGCCGGGCCCACGACGGCGCACCAGAGCACCACCGCCGCCGTTCACGGCTCATGTTTGAGAAATAGCGATATCTTCTGCGAAGTAAGAAAATAAGTGCAGCCGTGCAACGCAGGAATGTGCATAAAGCGCGCTATTCACGAGAATACCCACACAACCAAGTGTCCCCCTCTGATCTCGATGAGCTTGTAATACGTTCTCTGTAGACAGAAAGCAAATCTCAGTTCACTTTTCACTGCTGAGGAGGGACCGGATGAAAACTCGTTGACGCGAGATGAAATGTCTCGATGATAAGAAGTGATATCTCTATCAAGGCGACTCCGAACATTCGTGTGAACATTCGGCCTCTTTAAAACTCAGTTAAGATAAACTGGAAACGTTTGATCGAGTAGGAAACTCTTACAGGAATTTTTCCGTTGCTAGAATCGAATTCTCGTCTGGTTCGCAGGCAAGAGAAAATTCAGTTACACAAAAGGGATTATTTTTTCGTGCGGGAAAAAAATATCAGTTTCTTGCAACTGGATGGGAACCAAATAAAAACTCGACACAAGAAATGACATTACCGCGGCTGAGAACATTCGGGTGAACATTCGGCTACATGGGCACGTTTGAGACAACAACTGGAAGCAATTGACTCAGGAGAAAACCTCTACAGGAATCTTTCTGTTCTTGCAATCGAGTTTTTATATGGTTCCCGGGCAAAAAAAATACAGTTACGCCAAAGGATCTATTTCTCCATGCACGAAAAGAAAATTCGGTTTCTGCAACTAAATAGGAACGAGATAAAAATTTGGTGACAAAAAATGGCATCTCCGTTACCGCGATTGAGAATATCCGTGTGAACATTCGGCTGCATTAAAACTCGGGCAACTGAGAGCAACTGACTGAAAAGAAACCTCCTACAAGGATCCTTCTGTTCCTACAACAGAGTTTTTGTTAGGTTTCCAGGCAACGGAAAATTCAGTTATACTAATAGAATCGTTTTCTCCGTAGGTGGACCAAAAAGGACACGTATTTTTTTATAAGTGCTTAATGCATAAGGCATGCAGGTTTAGAAGGTGAATCTTCTGACGCCGTGCGAAAGCGTCTCCGGGAGGTCTCTAATTTCTGGGAAACTCCTCGTCCAGAAAAAATAAAAAAATAAAAAAATTTAGAAGGTGAAACATCTCTTTGAAGAAAATCGGTTTTCTTCTCTCTGGATGAATAACATTCAAACAGTGAAAGATAGAAAGAAATATTTGTTCAAATATACACAGTTTTATGATTTCAAATATATCTTATGACTGTGTTTAAAAATATTTAAGAATGTTATATTTTTAAACAAATTCCATATAGCCACTTATAATCTTTCCTTGAGAATGTTTAAATTCCTTATGACGATATGAAAGATTATTTTATGCTGAATCTAATTATATATACCAAAAGTATATTCCGAAAAATTATTCTTCAGAAATTAGCCAGAAACATTTGAAAACATTATTTTTGAGAATTTCTTTTTCCGAGGAGTAAGCGATGTGACGAAAGAATTACGAAGTGAGGTTCACCTCGATGCCATATTACGCGAGTAAGCAATCGATAATGATCAGAAAGAATGGATATTTATATTTTATTCACCACTTAGTAAAATTAAAGAAGCGAAGTTATGTTATGATGGAAAATATGAGAAAAATGTAATAAAATTTATGAATGCAAAAAACTAAATCAAATGAAATACTTAGGACTTCAAATAAAAATAGAAAAAAAGTAAAAATGAAAGATACGTATATATCAGATCTGTTGAAGCATTCACTCGATTTTTATTTTCCACTGTACTAGTTTTTATATAAGAAAAATCGAAAGTTAAATTGCGAGAGTGAGAATTTTATGTAAAATGTATAGCTTAGGGATTTTACATTGAAGAAAAGAAAATATTGATCTTAACTGATATTTGTTTTCCTCGCTATCTTTTCCCGAGTTTATTTGGATGTGTGAATTATTTGATAGCTTTTTCCTCGTCCGAGTATTATCTAGTGATTTGTTTCTATAAATTTTAACTGACATTTCGGAATGCCTTTAGGGTGAAGATTTTTCATCATGAAGGATGAGACTTTTTCTCAGGTAACAGGTTGTCCGACATCGGGCCGACCCGCAATCATCAAAAGAGAGGACCAAAACCTTCGTGATTCTTTTCTTTGTGTCGTGTTAAAGGTCTTTTCAAGGAAAGAAGTTTCAACGTGCTTATGTCACGTTCAAGCTTCTTGGTGTAACGTTGCTTTTCAAAATTTGTGGAATGCATGAAAGAGAAGCGATCAGTTTCCTTAAATTCTCATATTTTCTTATACAATACCGCATGTTATACCTTCGAAATTGTAAAACATGTGTAACTTTCATTGTTCTTCAATCTTTACGTGAAGTCTGAGTTACAAGAATTCATTATTTTCTTTTCTAAATTATTGCTAATTCTGTAATTTCTAAATTGATATATTATATTATATTAAAAATTTCTATTATTTTAATTATTACATTAAAAATTTTCAAATTATTTCTAATTTTTTTGTTTTTCCTCTTTCTCTCTCATCTTTTATTTATCCGTTATTATATTAGCATTAAATCATACTGGTGATACTCGCATTTTAGAACTGTTTGCTTACCATTTAATGTAGGCGGCTGGATTTCCGTCGTTCGAACTGCAACTAATCAAGGTTTCTTGTTTTTCCTTTAGCGGTAGGACAGCGTTTAAAGGTTTACCTCCTTCATATTTTAAAATAGGTGGCCCAGGTTCCACTAAAACATGCATTAAAGTGCGTTTAGATAAGATAAATAGAAGCAGAAATTGTCGCGTCAGGGCTATCTTCTCTCAGTGAAATAAATAAACAAAGTTAATATGTTGCGTTCTTTGAAAAAGTATGTTTATGCATGTATATAATACATAGGTCATATTAAATGACTAATATATGAAATATGATAGAAATATGTTCGTCAAAATAAATAAAAATTCAATTTAGAAAAAATCTGATAATGCAAAACGTCTTCTCTGTAGGATTTTTTTTTCCAGTGCGTTGATTTTTATAATATATTATTCTCATCTATTCGTTTTTCAGCTGTAATCACGATTTTATCGTTACTTTGTAAGCAAATGCGGAATAAGTAATCGTTCAAGAGGTTGATTGAGCCACTAAGAGCACTCAACCAAATTTCCATTAACACGGATGTTGCAAAAGTACAGAAAAGTAGAGCATAACGGCTGCCCCATGCGTTCTCTTGCACCATTCGAAGTCAATGTTCGCGGAATATTAACGATCCAAATGGCCCGATGCGCTTTGATGAAATATTCGAGGTTGCCTTGAACTTTAAATGTGCTAACATATAAATTATAGTAACTATTAAGTTAACTATGTTAAGTATATCATACTAAATATATAAACTGTATATAATATTCGGAAAAGCCATGTTATCGAATAATCATTTTGAGAAAAATATTTATATAATATTATTTAAAATTGTTGAGAAAAAAGTCCACATCGATATCGCTAAATGTTGATTTAACGTTTCTTGCTTACTGGGATTACTTTTCATTTGTATTATCTAACAGAAAATGTAATAAAGTGTATGAAATGACTATATTCATACTCAATCAAATAGACGAAGAAAAGGAGTCCAACAGGAGCATCGGTATGGATTTTGTATAATGCAATAAAATATATCTGTATTATATTTAGTGCACGGGTAAAATCCGTGCAAAGGCTCTTATTCGTCCCTTTTTTCTTCTTCGGTAGAAAAGTTCGGTAATAAATTCGATCGACGTCGTAAAATTAAAATCGGACCGCCCGGGAAGATCGTGCCCATTTCTTTTCTAAGAAAAAAAAAAAAAAGGTCGCAACGCCTTCTTGCACGTGGGCGTTTCTCCATTCAATTCTATATGCAAAGTCACGTTCTTTTTTTTTTTCTTTTAAAGAAAACTTCCGCCGCCATTCAAGCGATTTGATTCACCTCATCTTCCCGGACCATTCTAGTTCTCCCAGAGAAATTTCTCGGGAAGCTTCCCGAGTGACCTGATATTTTATGTGCAACGTCATTAACATCCCGCTAGGAGTGAAACAGCTCGAATCAGGGGTTCTTACCTATCACGAGCAGCCTGGCCGGTAAGGATACGATGGCGTCCTGCAATTTGTGATTGCTAGGCGCAACCTGGCATACCCAAAAATTGTCGTCAAACTCCAAGGTGGCATTCTTGATCAGCAGGGAGCAATCGCCGCGGCGATCGCTCAACCATTCATATTTTCCCGATTCATTTGCTATTATTATTCCATCCTTCAGCCAGAAACAATCACCACTTTTGTCTTTCACCCTGCAGGGTAGCAGCGCGTTTTGGCCAGGTAGCACTTCTTTGTAAGTGGGCGGTGTTTCGATAAATTTTTGTACACCACTGACCACGACGCCGAGGCAGCAGATATAGAGAAGCGTTGACAGAATCAAGAGATCGTGCGTCATTTTTGCGAATTTCCGACAGATACTTTGCTGGCAAGTCATATATTCGTTAAGAAGCGAACATAGGATTTATCGACGCGATAGATCAGGGCAGTTTCTACCAGCAAGCGAAAATTTATAGATCTAGAAGCCCGTAGCTGACAAATTTTGGATTCTACGATTCGCACAAGAGTCGGAGATCACGATTGGGGGGAAAATAACGCACGGGCAAAGATGCGAGATTCTGTGACGAAGGAATCACTCAGTCGAAGTAGTAAGAATTCATGGGCCCAAACGGATTCTCCAAGATTCACAGATTCACGAGGGGGTTGGAAAACCTATGTTTTCATATAGTTTTCCTTTGGGGGAAACTAATCTGCGGGAAAGGACGTGCACACAGTCTCGGGTTCCTTCGTCGAGATCCAGTTCACAATCACCAGTTTATCCGCGTTTCACAGAGATCAAAGTCACAGAGGCGGACTCGAGCACTAATTGTGCACGAATTTCGCCGCCGCCGATTGATCGATCGATCGAGCGAGAGCCGTTCGTGATCACGGAACCTTCACTCGCGAGTCATTCGTGCGAATGGAAAATTCGTCGAAACGCAGCGCGCGAATCCGTTCGCTTTTTATTACCGCGCCTAAACGGCGCGAAAGTCCGCGGGCCGATCGAAATAGTTGCGGATGCTTTCACCGGAATGATCGTCACGCTCCACGGCACGCGCGAGGAAACAATCGCGCGGACGATCTCGCGGAACTTCGCGAGACGTTCGAGTGATCGGAGATTGATCGCCGGTCAGCCGCGATTTCGAGCAACAAGAGAGACGATTCTCCAAGCCTCCGCTTGAAGCGACTTACAGGTACACGTCACTGATACAACTGACGCGGTATGGGCGTTCGGAAAAGCGCTTACGATCCACCCGGCCGCGGGAAAGGCGGTACGAATGAGCCACCTTTCCAGTTCGAAGGGTCGTATATCCGCGCGCGCAGCGAGGCAGCGCACTCGCCGCTGGGTTGGGGAACTACTCCGCCCGCGTTCGAATTCTTCTTTCCTGTCCTTTATGTCCCGGCTGGACCTTTTCCATTATCTAACGATCTCCAACGGTTACCTTTTACGCAGCAGGATGCATTAGTGCATACCGCAGAGTCTTAAGAGGGGCTTTCAGAAAATCCCGATTAAATCTGAGCAGCGGCTGACTCAACCGTCCAGCCTGCGAGGAAAGCAAAATACAACCGAAAAAGATGGAGAAAAATACATATTTTGCGTTATTAAAGCGAGAAGAAAATCTCTTCGTTTTTTTTTTCTAATTTATACTTACAATTAATTGATTTTGAAATAATTTTAATTAAACAGATTAATTTTAAAATATTAAAAATTACTATAACACACACATACATACACGGTCGAGAGTAGGATTGATTCTATTTTGTTCTATTTTGTTAATGAAATTAAAAGAGAAGGTGGTATTATGGCTCTTGTAGGTATCATGACCTCCCTTAATATCTTCATTTCTATTTGACGAATTCCAGCGATTACTACAAAATTATTGTACAAAATATAATGGGGCCATAATACCTTCTTCTTTATTAATTGTTTGTTAGACGACAAATTATATACCCAGTGAAAACCAATAAACAGTAACATAACATCAATATTATAATTTCCTACTCAACAATATAAATGCAATATAACGCGCGTATCATGGAACAGTTACGTTGTTGAGTGAGAAATTATAATATTGATGTTATATTACTATTAGATGGTTTATCTCACTAGGTATATAGAAATTGCTATTTATTATTCTGCTGATCGTCGATTAGTTTAATTTATGTAATCGACCGTTAATTGTCGATTAGTTTAACCGGAGTTTGCTGAAAGTCATCGCAACATGAGTTGATAATTTAGAGATACATAAACAAAAAACATTTAGAATTATCCTCTGGCAAATGGAGTTGTTGAAACTCGAGGAATGTTTACAAGTAAATGTTTCTCTACCACACAAACGCTTATCTGGCACATAAGCCGCGTTATTTATATTATATGACACCAGCACACAGTTACACAAATTTATACGCAACACGAGAAAGTTTCGGATGCAACGTATTCATGCAAGCACTCCGACTTAATCACAGATTGAATAAAAATCCCACGATTCTCGCGAAGCAATTCGCAAAGAAACCACGAAAGATAATCAAGAACGTTTAATGAATAAAAACTTACGTCCGAGAGGAGATTGAAGTAGCGCGACGACGACGACGACGACGGAGTCCGTGGCGCGGAAAGAAAGTACGCGCGGTAAATAGAGTGTCCAGGACATGCGGTTCCAGCAGCAGGACACGGTACGTTGCGAGTCGGAATTAAGAATTGAATTATTCTTTCGCTCGCGAGAAAGAAAGAGAGAATCGCGTGCACTTACCAGGTAAAATGAAGTCATTGTAAAAATAAGAATAAGCTTGAAAATCCTGCGCTGCTACGTGAAAAGCTGCGATCCTAAATTATTCTTCTTCCCTTGAAAGAAAGAAAAACAATTTGTAGCGTCATATTGCACAGAAAAAAAGTGCTTGAGTCGATTAAATGCAATTGTGTGTGTGTGTGTGTGTTTAATAAATGTATGATATATTTATATGAACAAACGCATGTACGTTACGTTAGACAGCAGAAACTTCGAAAAGACGTCCAAAGAGATTCGTATAGTCACGTTGTACCTTAGATGTTTTAAAGACATCTTTTAGAAGTTCGTGTTGCTCCGGACATAATGGTCTCGACTGATAAGTCAGCGTGCGTCGAAGTCATGCTGGGGGGATACGATCTCTCAGACGCTTCGAAGCATTCTCACTACGTAATGACGTCATTAATCCCAGATACAAAAAAGACGCTTCGAAGCCTGTACGAAGCGTCTGGTGGATTGTACCCTGGGTTATTTATGTTTCGGCTGTGTGAGAGATTTGTGCGTGGGGTGCGACGCGGCCGACGCGTACAACGCAGTTGCGTTGATCCTCAGCGTCTCCGGAGTGTATGTGTGATTTCTATATATATTCCCTGCAGAGTTCTAACTCGGTTCCACACCGTGCGTCATAGTGGCCGCACTGGAAGCGGAAGACGGACCCCAAACGCGGGCTCACGCGTGCGTATCCAACCCTGTATCCTCTCCGGCGCTATCCTAATTATTCGAGCGTGTTATCACAGCAGAGCCGCATGTAACGTGGCAGCACTTCGCGTTCGATCTGTTCTTTTCATTCACTCGCACCTTCTCCGCCCTCGACCGCTCATCCGCTCCGGGCTTCTGCCTTTAAGGGTGACTTTCACCGAACTATGACTAAGCTAATCGGTGATTTAAAATTGTTCCGTCGGTCGAATATTACCTACTTTCTATCTCTTCAACCTGGAGAAAACAGTTAGATTGTTAAAATCGGCGGTCATCTTTATTTAAAAAAAAATATATATATATATATTTCCCAGATAATATATTTCAAAATCATCCAGTATGTCCAGGATGTCCTAAGGAGTGTCTTAGGACATCCTAAACGTATCCAGGGTGATCTCAGGATGTTTTGCACTATTTGAGTTGTGCACAGAAAAAAATACCGAATTCAAGGGAATATTCATGCGAAACAGTAGGTTGCGCAGTTCAAGTTCACGTTTTGCCTCAAGACTACCGCGAGAAAATGCATTCTGCTGCCCGTTTTTACTAACGTCGATTAAACCTTAATTTGAATTTAAGTCTTCATCTGTGGCTAGTCGAAACCTCAAGTGAAGGCTTAATCGACGTTGAACTAGAGACGGGCATGAAACCGCAAACCGACAATCAACGGTGCGTCGTAACGGTCCTTAAATATTCCGTAAGACCAAATGCAGTGTTTGCGCTCAAAAAATAGACCTCGTTTTTTGTTTTTCTTTTTATTAAGAAAATACGTGAGGCCGTTAGGAGCAATGCCTATTACTTGGCTTACATTTTTGCATAAACACTGTGTATTTTATACTACGAATTAGATTCCTATCACAAACTTAATTCAAATTTGATGCCGATAGAATGAGGTTGACTAAAATTACTCTGGTTTTGATTTAAGATAGATATTCATGAGATAGATAGAATTTTTAAGATCAAGTGTGTTTTTATTTAGAAATACATGAGTATTATAATCGGAAAAAGAAATGACACCTATATTACCTTACATCAGCCTAGATCGCAAAATATGAGAGACTCGCAGTGGAGTAATTAGTTATCACGTAAACGCGTTTATTTATATTTAATAACAAGCACCGTCACCTCATTATTCTTAAAATTATCCTGATTCAAACAGGAAAAGAGAAAAAGGCTACTCAAACACTGCACCAGGAAATTTGCTAAAAATAATAAACGTATAAAAGAAAAAAAAGAAAAAGCAGCATATATAAAAGAATACAGAAACTGCAAATACCTGAGCCTGTATTCTGAACTTTTTTTTATTTCGATGAATCCCCTGACGAATCAGGTTAGGTTAGGTTGGCTGAGGAACCACATTCGAGGCACTTTTATCGACGAAAGAAAATTCAGAATACGAATCCTCGTCTTTTTCATTCACCATCCTCCTACCGCCATCTTACATTCACGACAACCAGTTCTCGACTGGATCGAAGTGTACCGAAGGTATCGATCGAGCAACGTATCGATATAGCAGCGTGCATTGCAGCCAACCGTCATCCGGTATCGACGGAGCACTATTCCCGTTCTCGACAAAGTACATTGACCACGGGGAACATGCAAAAAAAAGAAGACAGTACCGCGCATTTAATACTCACACGTCCTCGTATCAGTCTATCTTTATCTCTGCTAATCGATATCGCGTTCTATACTTAAACGACCTGAATTATTTACCCGCGAATACGAGCCAATACTTTTGCGAAATAGCAATACAGCCGGTTTCCATGTGGACGACGCGCGGGTTCGCCGTGACTTCTAATTAAGGCCACGGTTAAGGCGCGTTAAAAAAAAAAAGAAAAAAGAAAAATCAACGATAACACGAGAGACGGGAGACGCGAGACAGAGCGAACAAGCGGACCAATCGCGGCCAAGTCGAGCGTCTCTCTCGCGGTCGGGAGCTTCCGCGGGCGCGACCATCGTTCCGAAATTTCGAAGGAAAAAAAAACATAAGTGCGATTGATCGAAATTTGAAACTGCGATCGATCGGCGGCCATCGTTCGAGCTCCTGCCGTCGCTCGCGCGCGCAGAGAGCTCTGGTTCTACGCGAGCTATGGCCCCCCGATTTCCCGGAGCATGCACATGTCAGTCGGTCCGTAGCCGAGCGATGCATCGATTCCTCGCTGTAGCCGCGTATCGCATATCGTAACGCACCACCACTGTACAATACGGCGTAGTCGTGGCCGCGGATCGCGGCCAATGTCAGAGCGGTTCGGGCTGTGTTGTGGACAATGGCGACGTCGTCGTCCCGACGGCTGGTGTGACATCCTGACGACGGGCTAGATGGTCCCGCTACGTTGTCCGGACGCAGTTGCGATCACGCGCGCATCGATTCACGGTGGCTGAAAGCACATCCCGACGCACCAGGTGTCACGTTCCGCTCTTTTTTCTCTTTCTCCCTCTATCTCTCTCTCTCTCCCTTTTCTATCTCTCTCCCTCTCTCTCTTACCTTCCATCCCCTTCGTCGTCGGCTCCTGTCTGCGCCGTCCGCGATGGCCGTGAACGCCAACGCGTTGTCCAGTGACATCAGCCGTAGGAATCCCCAGGATGAGTACGAGCTCATCCAGCGGATCGGCAGCGGTACCTACGGCGATGTCTACAAGGTCGGTATCTCTTGATTCGTGTCACCTGGTGATCGACGACGCGACTATGATCCCGTTTCCCTCGTTCGCAGGCTAAACGGCTGTCCATGAACGACCTCGCGGCGATTAAGGTTATCAAACTGGAGCCAGGTAAGCGCGCACTTTCCTCGGAGTATCGGGAATATCATATGATTGTGTTGCACGATTGGTATCTTAATTTGGACATTTATCGCTTTTCCATTTGTCATGACACGTTCTTCTCATGGTGTTGTGATTTTCGTGCAAAGTATGCAGAGCAATATGAAGATCTGGTGAAGTATGACTGAAGTGCCTGTTCACCAGACTATTTAGATTATCTGCTTGTTTTGTACACTTGGTCCAGGAAAATGGTGTCGAGCCGTTGCGAATAGTAGGAATTTGGTAACGAAGAACCACAGAGCTGGATGGTTTGCGGCACTGCTGTGTGTTTTCCAGGTGACGACTTCGCGATCATTCAGCAGGAGATCCTAATGATGAAGGACTGCAGGCACCCCAATATTATCGCGTATTACGGCAGTTATTTGAGAAGGGACAAGCTGTGGATATGCATGGAATACTGCGGAGGTGGATCTTTGCAAGATATATATCATAGTATGTGTAATATTTATTGCTTAATATTAATACATAATGTTGGATGAAATGTTCGTAATAGATGCTTGAGTTAGATGTAAAAAGAATTCAGATCCATGTTTATAACAGTATTATTATAACTTGTAATAGTGCCATTATATAACGACTCATGCGGTAGTGTCATATGTTGCCTTTTAATTAAAGCTGCGATAATCTTATCTGTGATCTATTTGCAGTAACTGGACCATTATCAGAAATACAAATAGCATATATGTGTCGGGAAACTCTGACGGGTTTAGCTTACTTGCACAGCATGGGCAAGATGCATCGTGATATCAAGGGTGCCAATATATTATTAACCGAGGCGGGTGATGTAAAATTGGCAGACTTCGGCGTATCAGCGCAAATCACCGCGACGATTAATAAGAGAAAGAGTTTCATTGGCACACCTTACTGGATGGCTCCCGAGGTGTTTATGATTCGATACAAGTGGTCTGCTTTTTGTTCCTGAACTAGGTAGCTTTTTTTTACTGGTAGAGTGAAACAAGTATATAATTTAGCATTGAAGGGAAAAGGAAGTGCAGTCCTAGTTCAGGGACAGGAGACAGACCTTAGGTAGAAAGAAGAAGCGTGCTTTGCAGTGTTGTGTTGCGGGGGCTGTTGGTGAAGCTGACCTCTCGACGATGTTGCAGGTAGCAGCTGTGGAGAGGAAAGGCGGCTACAATCAGCTATGTGATATCTGGGCGTGCGGAATAACTGCGATCGAATTGGCAGAGCTGCAGCCACCGATGTTCGACCTGCATCCGATGCGCGCCCTCTTCCTCATGTCCAAGTCGGGCTTCAAGCCGCCGACACTGAAGGACCGCGACAAATGGAGCCCGACGTTCCACAATTTCGTCAAGGTCGCGCTCACGAAGAACCCGAAGAAGAGGCCGACTGCGGAGAAGTTGCTCCAGGTTACTGTTACTCATTTAGCTCGGTCGACGTTTCGGTGAGATAAGCGGCAGAACTGCAGGGAGCATTTCGAATTGCAGCACGCGTTTTTCCAAGGGGAGATGAGCAAGAGGCTGGCGTTAGAGCTGCTGCAGAAGGTGTCGAATCCCAGCCACATGTTCACCGATCTTGAAGCCGACGAGGACGGTGCTGTGCCTAATGTTCCGCAGAGAATAGCCTCGCGCCATACCGCGAGGCCCAGGCCGAAGAGTATCTCGCAATTGGATAGTGACGGTAGGCATGGATTAATAGCGAACAACATGTCATCATCCGTCTTATTCACACTCGTCATTGTAATCCGCCTTGTAGACCAAATCAACCTCGATGGTGAGACGTTACAGCGAGACTCAATATCGCCGTCTGTGGACAGTAATCCGGCATGGGACATCATGGACATCATGAATAACGTCAAGGTAAATTCGTCGCACATCTTGTTAATGAACGGAGTTGCTATAGAGCAAGTTCTTTCTTGTCGTGATAAATATAGTAATCAATGCAATAATTACGACTCTAATGATATACAATCAAACGGTGGAAAAAATGTAATCATGATATTAACAAGCACGTAAGAATCAAACGTCGATGCACGAGTAACCAATTTAGCATTACAATTTAATAGTACATTATACAGAAGTTAACAAAAGTTATGTAAAAACGACAGTCATAATTAAGCAAATCAAACGTATCAGACCATAATCTGAGTCATCTTCCGTGATTAAAAAGAAAAAAATGCGATGTCCGTTCATTAAAACGGAGAAAAAAATATACCAACCAATTATATGCTAATTTAAGAAATTAGGATTCGATTTGCATACTTTTGACTGTCATTCTTGTGCAACGCTTGCTAATTTCTTGTAAATCTATAATTATTTGTAAATCAGCGTTTGACTTTTAGTTGCCTGTTAATGTTATGATTACACTTTTCTCATTGTTTGATAATATAATAATATAATAATTATATATAATGACTATTTTTTTTATATATATCTATTAAACATTATTATATATAATGACTGTTTTTTTTAATATATATATCTCTATTAAATATTATATAATTACTATATCACGATATAGTAATTAGCGAAAATGTGCACAATATATGTGGTAATGAAATTGAACATCTTATTTGCGTATTCGTACATCTAGGCTGTACATAATTGTGATGTGCACCCAGACTGTGGGATCGGTTCAGCGTTCGAAGATGTTCAGGAGAAGTAAGTTGTTTTCTGTTTCTCTCTGTCAATTCTCTCATCACACACATATACACACACACCTCGCAAAACATCGGAGAGATCGGAGCTTCCATCTCACTTTCACTAATATGGTAGTTGCTGTTTTGTTCGACGATATCTTTTCGTAAATGTCTGTCTTATAGATGTTTAGAGTGAGACTCGAGAGAGACGTTCCAATGTGACATCTTGATTCTTCAATGTGCATTATATGTTTCACGTATACACACACACACACACACACACACATATATATATATATATATGTACACACATATTGTTTAAAGAGAGACTTGGTGATTTGCGGACGAGATATAATTGTCAGATGTGCATTAACAAGACAGCAATACGGTATGCTGTATCATGAGGGCCGCGAACATTCTTGCCTGATAGTAACTAATAAGTACATATAGCATGTGTGCTTATGCTTTGCATCATGTCACACTTGGTCCGAGCGAACGAGAGACAAAGACGCGTTACGTTTGTTACTGTCTCGCACTTGAAACAGCAGCGCATCATATTCTGAAATATCTCGACGGGTTTAGAAATCTCTCTCGCGAAACGAAATAGATGATTACAGAAATAACCGGCGGAATATAATTGAACACGGACACCGCAGAAATTCGTTTTCTCGCGTTATCGATTATCGTCGTCCGTTATTTTCCCCGACCCTCATCCGCGGACCGAAATCTTTTGCTACTTATTTATTCACACTTATTTTTGTACCAGTACACTTGGCGCGAACGTTATGACAAGTAAAATATTGAAACGTCGTAGCAAAACCGGCACAGAGATATTTCGTATGACTTTAAGGTAACATCATAAACTTCCTTCAGTTGTAGTGTGGCGTGAAAATTCTTCCCCGATCTTTGGATGTAACAAAGACGTGTACTCACCAAGACAAGTGATACACTTACGTTTTCTTAGCTTCAAAAAATGTGTGAAAAATCTCAACTAACTTGCCTTCTTGAATAACGGAATTTAGTCTTACGATGAAACAAAAGTTTTTTTCTTTGCAGTCTTTTCGTACAATAACAACATAAATGTAAAACAAATTGCATTTTAATTTTCTTGTATCGGTTAAAGTGGCTTGAAATGTAACAAGTACATGGATGGAATTAACGTTATCTTTAACTGGGCGTACATAGCATAAAATTTGCAGTAATAAAACGACTGTTATGTACATAGACACTTTATTCTCTGACCAGACAGATTTAACAATATATTGTAGATATATATGAAATCACAAGCACCACCTTTTGCATGTTAGGCGATAGACGTGATTGCTTGTATGATATTGCATGATTGAGAGTTTTCGAACGGTGTTATGCATTTTATCGAAGTTAATACGATCACTCGATAATGTACTTCACGCGTACACCAACATATCGATCTCGTGCATTAGAATCATTCATGCCAATTCAAAGTCAGACACAAGAGCGATTCATTTCGTACACCTGTAGTTTTGTACTTTATTCACGAGGTTTTTCTCGAAAGTTTCTATGATGAGAAATATATCCAGAAGGTCTTTCGGTTCGTACAGAAATTGTGAAATTATTAGTATTCTCGATCCTTCTTTCGACGATATAGTATATTCGATCGTATAATTCTGAAATATTTATATCCTGCCACCGATAAATATTCCCATTTTTCCGTAGCACACTATTTCTCTCTCTCTCTCTCTCTCTCTCTCTCTCTCTATTTCTCTCTGTCCTGAATTCTATTTTGTAATCCATTTCCATTATTTATTCTCCGTACTTTTAATTTTTCTGATCAGTTTGTAATTCTAATAATTTCTCCCAACAGGAGTCTATTGCAGTACATTGATGAGGAGTTGTTGCTAAGGTATTGGCAGGTAACCCTTTTCCCTTGCACCTTGCACCTTGCACTTATATCTCCTGATGCTGTGCATAATTCTTGTAAATTGCATCATTCGAACGATTACTTTGCTACTTAATCGCTTGTTTTCTTTGACATCTTGTTCTGTTCATGCATTGTAATAACTTTGTGTTGATACGCGCATTCTTCGATATTCTGTTCATTCGCTTTTCCTAAAAGTTACATTCATATGTGTTTCTCTCTTATTTTAGTTATTCCAAATTTACGTTTTAAAGCGAATTTAGGAAGTTGTGTAACTTTTAAGTGATACGCGCTTAGGGGAACCGGTTTAAGTGAATGGTACTACCCGAAGGAAAAATATCTAATAATTGGTACAATCGTTTTTACGATATAACCGAACGGAGTGACTAAAACTACATCATCAAAAGAAAACACATATCATAACAGATTCAATCAACATCCACGCTGTCATTTGCAGAGAAACATCAGTATCATGTGCACAAATTTTAGATAGAACATAGAATCTTGAAGTGTGCCTCTTTTTCCTGTTACATGTATTCGATGTTATTCGTTGCATGTTAATTCTCTCGAAACATCCTAACACACCGAAGCTATTTCATCAGCCATACTGGTGGAGGAGGCTTGACAAAAGTGTCAGTCGTGTAACTAAGTCTTTGTCATATTCTACAGCAGTCTTCTTCGATCCGGCATTTTTTCTGATCACCAGACCTGTGTAACTATTATTATTATACTGGAGATCTAAAAGGCAATTTGCAACTTGCAATCATTACGGACTTCTTTGGATATTACAACGTTGCGGGATACAAAAATTGCAATTACGACACTTGAAAGTGAGAGAGAGAGAGGGAGGCATATCGTCGCCACGCGTCTAAAGTTATTGCATATTTCTTTTAACGCGATATAATTCCATGAGATACATTCGAAAAGCAGAAACAGTATTAGTCGCTTCATCTCAAGTATCTTATGTTGTTTCAGCTTATTACGATATTAATTGAGCCGTTTATCAAGTTCCGAGACGTATCGTACCGCGACAAGAACAGAAGTCACCAAAAATAATTAAAAAATAAAAACGAGTTTGTAATTTTATAGTATATGATCACAGTTTCATGTGTGCAGGGGGAATGCAATGTCGATGGTTGGTGGGCATTGCGACCAGCTATATTCCCTGCAGTAAGTAGATAACGAATTACAGTAAGCAATTATTATTTTCCGATGACATAGATAATTTTCAGTTGATACGCGTGCTATAATACCGGGAGTATGGTCACCCACTTTTACGTACGAATGGTATCACTCATCGAGAAACCATTATATACGAGACTCACCTTTCGGATTATACACCGTACATTGCGCAGATAACACACTCTATCAATAAACCTGCAATTCTTTTATCGTTTTTCGCCCGAAAACACTTTTCCATCGGATGGTGCAGGTATCGAGTAAAAAAGCATACATTTACATACATTTATTCTCCGATGGCGGGGAACGTTTCTAGGTTGACGCATCTGTTTCTGTCTTATAATTCGATTAACTCGAGAAAACACATGTTCAAAACCGTGTCATTCACTGTGTATCACGTAACCAGCAAAACAGGCAACCTCACATGTACAACCGATCATATTAACACCTCGATGACGTGCGATTGCTTTGTGACATTTCAGTAAACTAAACTTTCTTTGAAATATGCGGCTTTTTTCTCTCTTATTCCATTGTGTTTTTGCATCACATTTCATGCGATTCTTTCTACTGTTATCGACGTTTGCGGATTGCTACCCCAACAGAGGCATACACACTATGTCTGAGCATTCGTTTTACAATGCGACATGCAAATAATGCATATTTTATCATTTTACCTTCAACGTGTTGTTCTGTCTTCTACTAACACAGCGTTCATGTTTCGTTCTCCCAAACCAGACGCGTCTCGAAGGAACGATTGTGCGTTAACGTCTACTTAAACGCTTTCTTTTGTAGAGCTACTCTACCGCTCGGGGAATCTTCGAACGACTGTGAAGTGCATTGTCCGTACTACAATGTATCTGGTATGTAAATTACATCGTTAACCCACGACTTTTATTTCATCATCTTCTTCTTATTCTTCTTCTTTATCTTCTTCTTCTTATTCTGTTTTTCTCTTCTTTGTGTTGGCGCGTATGCGAACACTAGCATACAGAATCGATTCATGCACAGGGTCCCAAGCGAGCCCCAGACGTCACAGCTCCGTGGACGAATTGTATGGCCTTGTCAACAGTTCTCAGTCCTTAACAGCTGTGAATGGACAACGTCAACGATCATTATCAGACAGCGGCCCCAGGGACGAGTCCACGCAGTCAAACGGTGAGAGTACACATCATGAATGTCTGCTTTAACATTAACATGATATAAACATTTATACAAAATTCCAGTAAGAAGAAAAAGGTCAATTATAATTTAAATGCAATGAAAAAGTCTGCAAAATTTCAATCATCTGAACTAAAACTTCTGACGTTCTAGAAAAATAAAGCGAACACTTACGGAATAGTGACTAGAGCTTTTGCACACACCTAATATGAAAAAACAGTTTTAAATATATCTCACTAGGAATTTACAGTATAATGAGATAGCGTATAAATAATTATAATCATATTTCTATGTAACAAATTTCGCTTTGCGAGCTTTCTTGAAGCATCGCTCTGCTTCGTGTAATATTGATTAATCGCAATAATTATCGTATAATTTTGCTCAGGCGATAATGAGATATCGGCGGATCGAGATAGGGAAAATATGAGTCCTGACTTATTGTCGGACACACCGCCTGTGCCTCCAAGGAGAAGGGATCGGAAAAGGCATACGCCACCAAGACCGATCAGCAATGGGCTGCCGCCTACGCCGAAAGTACACATGGGAGCATGTTTCTCAAAGGTTGGCTTCTGGAAAATTGAGAACTCTCTCTTTCGCAGAAAATCGTAATCGTCACGTTTTCTCTTCCTTTCCTTACCTCGATCGTCAATAGGTATTCAACGGCTGTCCACTGAGAATACACTGCACCGCGAGCTGGATTCATCCGGATACAAGGGATCAGCACTTGCTGATCGCTGCGGAAGAAGGGATTTACAACTTGAACCTGAACGAACTCCACGAAACTGCGATAGACCAGTTGTACCCGCGACGCACTATCTGGATGTACGTTATCAAGGACGTCCTCATGTCCCTTTCCGGTAAGTGGATCTTTGGACGGTTTTCTGCACGATTGATTATTTCGTGCAGCTTTCTACGGAACACCTACGAATATCTCGTTTTTCGGATTGCCTAGGAAAAACGCCTCAGTTGTATAGGCACGACTTGCTAGCGATGCTGAGTAAGCAGACCCATAGGTTTTCGTTGCACATGAATAAGATACCGGAGAGATTAGTCCCTAGGAAATTCGCCCTCACTACGAAAGTGCCGGACACGAAGGGATGCACCAAGTGTTGCGTCGGGAGAAACCCATACAACGGGTGAGCGACACAAAATGGCGCTTCATTGTCTGTATATTTCTTGTCGCGCTACGATATAAGCCGGTATTCATAGTCACATCGCATATTTAGGATTAATGCTATGTTCTGGGCATTTCGGGTGATGCTTCGCTCCCTTGGCTATTGAACATACTCTCACTGTCGTATCTTTTAAATTAACCGTTTTCAATCATTATCTTCACCGACAAAGCGTTCGTAAATTAATCTTCATTCTCATCTCATTATTTGTCTTAGGTTCTCATTATTATTTTTGTAATCTGTACTTTTTATTCCAAATTTCTTCACTCTTGGTTCTTTTTTCCTTGCGCCAATTGTCCATACATTTATGTCGTATTGTATTATTGGTTGCTTTTATTTAGAATTTATCCTAGAACGTAATAAAAAGCAGATTCTATTCTACTCTAATCTAATTGGGCGATTTTTCCTCCTTCCACTGACTCAATCGGAAATTCACGGGTATTTTCTGACGTAGGTACAAGTACCTGTGCGGTGCAATGCCAGCGGGTATATTTCTGATGCAATGGTATGACCCGCTGAACAAATTTATGCTTCTGAAACACTTCGACTGCGTTCTACCGTCGCCCCTAAACGTCTTCAAGATGGTTATCACGCCTGAAATGGAATACCCGATGGTGTGTGTGTCGGTTAAACAGCCATATCAGCAGAACAAACTGAAGCTGGACTTGATCAACATGAATTCAGGAGCGAGTTGGTTCCACAGCGACGAATTGGAGGACATGGATGGTTCAGGTATATCGTTGTCGTGTCATTTGTGACACGACATCAAGTCTGTAGAGCTTAATGGCTTGTATTACATTCCTGTTACTTTCCTCCATCTCGAGGCTCGACAATTCTTCATTTTCTAATCCAGAAGCATCATCTTTCTTATGATAAAAATACTCTTTCAGCGACTGTGATACCAAGAAGAGAGAATCTGAACGTTATTAATGTCACGCAGTTCGAAAAAGACGCAATACTCGTTTGCTACGACAGTGAGTGTTACCGTAGACGTTGCAGGTATCTTATTGTGTTGGATATTGTTACGTGATTCATATTTACAGATGTGGTGAAGATGGTGACCTTGCAAGGGAAACCCCGCGTCAGCAAGAAGCAACTGTCGGAGCTGCAGTTTAACTTTCAAATCGAGTCTATCAGTAAGCATCGAGTCACTTCGTTCCTATGTAATCAGTGTCAAAGTTCACGAGTAAAACGCCACATCGTCATTTCTTCCCAGTTTGTCTACCGGATAGTGTACTGGCATTCCACAAGCACGGTATGCAAGGTAGAAGTTTCAAGAACGGCGAAGTCACGCAGGAGATTAGTGATCCGAGCAGGACTTACAGGCTACTTGGCTCAGATAAGTATGTGTCTGACGTAAGTGAGATAATTAGATATGTATATATATGCAGATAAAATAATTCCAAAGCTCTTAGTGTACGGAGTGAGGCAATAACTGTTAGCACCTAGAATATTTTTGACAAATAAGAATTTTCCATTAACAAACAATCAGACCATGAGGAGCCAAGCACGGATTAATTAATATTATTATTAATATTATTGTGGGAGGATAAAATTGTCCATCATGTGCTGCGAAATTTTTCCGGACAAACGAACACGGTGGACAATTTTCTACGTTGCTCATTGATTTAATTAGCAATTGGATGTTTTCCGGAGGATTTTAAATTAACAACGAATGTCACTGAAATTCAAAGGGTCGGTTCACGGTGAAAGGCTGTTGCCGCGTTCGTTTGTCCGATAAAAAACCATTCGGCACGTCAATGACTTCGGGAATAAATTAATCGATCGTTACGTTCGACAGGGTCGTCATGTTGGAGAGCCATCTGGTTCACAGCGGCACGCTGACCGAGTCGGAAGGGGCGGATTTGTACATTCTCGCTGGGCACGAGGCCAGTTACTAAGTATCGATTTTAAGTAGCTAACACGCGACCGCACGCCGCGCGCTATCGTTATCGCACGATTTGCGATTGGACTGCATGCAACGCGAGACAGCTACCGATGAGCGGTGAGATCAAAGTCGCAGTCGAGGTAAAGCACTTCGCTATAATCAATTGTATTGCGTCGCGCAATAATGTACGTAGCCGAGGCCGCTCTGGTGCACTGGCGGAGTGTCCAGTGCCGTAGTAGTCGCCGATGTCTCCCCGCGTAATCGATATCGCGGTAACTATTTTCTTTTTCTTTTTTCTCTAACGAGAGGATCCTAGAGTTCCAGACAGTTCCTTCGAACTCTCACCGGATTGTCCTTCGAAGGACACGAGTCAAAGGACTGTAAGGGAGAAAGAGATTGAAATTCAGAAAGGCAGAAACGTAAACAAGAGAGAGAGAGAGAGTGTGTATACGCGAAACTGTCCTTATGCCTAATTAAATGAAGCCAATAGCCGCAACTGCTTCGAGAAATATCGGATTGAAAGTTCACTCGTCAATTTAACTATATATGTGTGAACTACGCTCCTCTGTAGATCGTGTATAATTACGGAAAGACTAGAGAGAACGAGATCGAAACCTCGAAAAAAAAAAACGGAGTCTTCCTCGGAGAGCTGTAAAAGTGACGAAGGTCATAACAATAGAGTTCACTGCGTCGATCGACACGAGAATGATATAGATTATACAAAAGTGTGGTATTTTTTTCTCGAATATAAATTTGTCCATGTTCCACAATGATAAGCGCAGCGAATCGAGAAACTCGGGGGAGAGAGAGAGAGAGACTGCCGAGGTTTCGATTGCGTTCTCGAACGATGCGATAGCATCGCCAAGTACATAAAACGCTAACAGATAACGCGCAACATAAATATTTGTTAGAAATATGATAGAGATTCTTTATATATAGCTAAATTGACCGACGAATGAAACAACCGCATCGGAATCATTGTCCTCTCTTTCTGGAGTCACACAGAGTGACCGTGTAATAGCTCTTAGCCTTCGAGAACCGTTTAATTGTGAATAGCGTTTATTAGGGTAAGACCTCACGTGTTTGTATCCTTAACGATCACGAGATTAGTAGGCGAGACGATATTTATATTCTTACACCGAGTCACGCATAGTTTTCGAAGGTTAAAACGCTACGTCGCTCTGCAATGGCCGGATGGCCACGCCGAAGAAAAAGATTCAGTAATAAGTAACTTTGATGACTAAAATTTGATGAATATTTATCGATCAAATGTTTGATTACCGCAAGCAAATAATTTAGTATACTAAAATGTCTGTACAGTCCAGCAAACATCAGCTACACTTAGAGGAAAAGACTCTAAAAATTTATTTGTGAAATATAAGGTTTATTTCGCAGAAATAAGTGTTTATTTAAATACGGCGAGATAAAATTTTATTCTTAGTAAATAAACCAATTAATAAGAAAACTCATATCTCATAAAAATATGTATTCCGTCATCACGATTAAATTTTTTCCTAATCAATAAATATCGAGGAAAATACAAGAAACATTTACTTCGCAAAATTTCAATTTCTTTTTCTCGGTGTAACAGAGTAACAACATCAATATTATAATTTCCTACTCAATAATAATAAATAAATATAGCGTAACGTGCGTGTTATATAACAGTTACATTGTTGAGTGAAAAATTATAACATTGATGTTATGTTATTGTTGGTGTTGGTTGGTGTTTGCTAGGAACATACAAAATTACAGTATCGTATATATACAGTACAATACGGTATACGGAATTAAATTATTTGGTTGCAGTAATTAAATATTTGATCGGCAAATGCTCACCAAATTCTAATATTTATTACTAAATCCTTCTTTCAGTGCACGTCCGAGTGCGTTTTAACGAGACATGCAAGTATATTCGCTCCTCGCATCGTGCGAAATGGGATTTCTCGCAAAATCTGTGTGACACCAGTCGGATTTACGATAAAAAAGCGCACGGTCTGTCCATGGGCTTCCGCCGAGTCGAATTTCGGCGTTGCGTCCTTTTTTCCATGCGAGTTCGCGAATGTTCCCTTGTTCGATTCGAGCGAGCGCTCCTTTGCTTGCTGCATCGTAATTCCTCAATTTCAAAACTGACGGTCGATTTCGACAGATTTGTCGGGTTGAAAATCGACCTCGAGTCGATACACGAAGCTGACGCTCCGAACACAGCGGAGGCGCGGGACAGACCGGCGTCGTCCTCTTCCAAAGACGATCTAGATTATAGACGAAACGACAACGATGTAGAAGGAAAGTAGAAACTAATCGATGTATAGAGCGCCGCTTTGCAACGGCGTTTCTAAACAATTTCACCTAGAGACAGGGTCCCCCGTAGGGACTACCGCACGATATTACCGTAACGATATCGTGTATATATAGCGTATGCACAGTACAAAATTCGCTTGTACCAATATTTCACACACTGCGTCATGTACATTCGTGGATAATGATTTCTTCCCTCTGGATCTGGTGAAGCAAGTCCAAAAGATGCTTATCTTACGTCCTTATTTTGCAAATTTTAACGTATACTTTACAAATCTTTGCGTAGATACTGCAAAATAACTACGTAACGATATGCAAACGGTAACGAAATTTTCGAGTTAAAGAATAAGGGGATTGTTGAAACAAATCATCACTATTGTGCATAAATCAGAATTCGATGAAACAAATATTCTCGATCTTGGCTCGTGTTATTTCAGTTGGTCAAATTCCAATTTTCGCTAATTTGATATAGTCTTTACGTGAATATTCTCTTAATAAGAACAGATTATAATAGCCATCATTAGATCTAGTAGGGGACAAATTACTGTCCATGGATGTGTGCCTTGTAATTAGAGTTACTTATGCTATTTTCAACTTTGTGCATACACACTGCATCACGAGGTTTGTTCTTCTTCACTGAACTGACCGCGTTAGTTCAAGTCGTGTATACTGAAGAGTTCTTTTTGACGGAAATTACGTCACATTCGCTGTTTGTTTTCAAGGCGTAGTCGTACTCAATGCAACCAATTTATTGCACTGACTGCTTTAGATCTCGAGGTAATACAACAGTAATTTTCAATATGGCAGCTATGTATACGAATAAATACATAACTTAAAGTAACGACATTACTGTAACAAAAGTATAGGAAACCAAATTTAAGATATTTGATAAATTATTTTATAACAAATAAATAAATATATGTATACATATATTCTTTATCAAAAATCAAATTTCCAAATATGAGGAGCATTATAATTTATAAAACGTAATGAGCCATATTGGTCACTGCACTAGCACGTTTTTTTTATCCCTCTCTGTACACTTGCATTGATTGACTCGACATTGAAAACTCGATATTGCTTTCACCAGTTCGAGTTCAGTGTAATCCTAGTTCAAAGAAAAAAAAACCTATGTAAGCCTTACCATCACAACTGGAGTTACGTATGCGATTTTCGACCTTATGCTTATATGTATAAGGCTGAAAATCGTATAACTCTCGTTCTAAGGAATGGTAAGACGTACATGACGCAATGTGTATAAGATTGAAAATCGTATAACTGTCGACTTAGAAAATGGCAAGGCATACATGACGACGCAGTGTGCATACCTTCGAGAACACGTGTTGTGTACGTACCGGAATTCCGCATACTCGAGCTTCATTTCGTTGGGCATATGGGATCTCTCGTTTAGGGAGGAGTTATTTCGATTAAGACATTGTGTTCATCAGTGTCTCTAATTTCGGAGAACGATTGCTAAGGCGAGTGTAAAGAAAGTACGTGAGATATTGCGCGACGCGACGATCGCCCGCGGTATTTAGTTCGGCGGTCCTTGTTTGCGCGCGACGTTTTGCTCGCTGCGCGAATAGATACGAAGGATATCCGCGCCACCGTGGCTCGTATCAGCCTCGATGGGTAACGATCGTGTAACGACTCTTTCTTAGGAGCGGGAACGTGAAAAGTGAAAAGTTTCGCGCGAAGATTTCCGCATTTTCACGATTCGATAAGTCCAAAGCTTGTGTAGCTCGAAAAAGCTCGGGATCTACAGTAGGTATAGTAAGCTTTTAGTCTGTTCTGCTCTGAGCAATAAAATGGCTGCGTTCAGCGGAGAAAGAAGCTCAGTGACTACTTAGTGACGCTTAGTAACTATTGTCTGTGACTGGAGTATTCTTTTAGATCCTCTACAGATTCAGGGGAATGTACCAATTGCAAGAAATTACATTACAATTTAGCGCTTAGAACAAGAGACTTATGATAAGCAGGCTTATCACATCTATTGTAGATCCGGCCTGAAATCGTCGAGTTCCCGTGAAATTTCTCGCGTCTCTGCTCCTGGGGGACAAATTAGTCGCTACTCCGCACGCGAGAGAGAACGTTCGTCTGAAACGTTTTACGTTCTTTCGTTCTGCGAACGCTGAAATTCTCTGTACAATGCTTCTCCTATCGAGGTAGTTCTCTCTGATAAAGCACCATTGTGATATTCGTGACTGCGAAAGGAGGGATGAGCGGGGTGGGGGCACTTGAGGAATATTCCAATTCTCCGCACAGAGAGAAACTATTTCCAAAATTGAAAAAAAGAGATATCGTTTTATACTCCTATATTCCTTACGTTATTTTTATTTATTGACTAACGTTGAACATTGTTCGGTTTCAAAATCGGTTTGCATTCTCGTAGAAACGACACGAATTCCTACAACAAAGACACGAAGAAGAATCAATTATATGTAACCCGCACTACGAATATATATATATATATATATATTCGTCTGTTGCGATTTTGTTCATGTATCCAGTAGTGTTTTATCAGTATGATATCGCTAACGAATGTATCGTCGCTTATCTGTGAGATGGCGAACGGAGTGACTTTCATGTGATCGGTCTTAAGACTGGGAGAAATGCATTTTCTCATTTACAGTAGATTTTCTTGATACTATACCTCGAGGAGGAAGAGTGCTGGACCACGTAGAGCGTGTAGATACAAGGAAAGAAAAAGAAAGAAAAAAATCTGTTGACTGTTTTATGTCCGCTCGCGTTACCGAACTCCGACGGACGAGTTCGATTGGCATCGATCGTGCCGTTTTCGCTTATACGGATTTCGGAATGCTTTCAAGTGTCCGTTGCCGATTTCTAATCGATTTATCCATTAACCGACGCTCACCAGTTGATAATAATAATAACATTGTGAACATTCCTCTTATCTGAAATATTTGACCACAGTCCTGTTACGAATTACTAAATTTCCAAACGCACAATTTAATTATTAACGAGTGAAAATTGTTGCAAATATTTTCTCTTAACGTTTTAACTGTAGCACCATTGTGTTCTCTTTGCATTTTCTCGCGGGGTCGACGCTTGAATCTGATGCTGTTTTTCCGAAACTAACGCAATCGGAAGATTCTGTCGCTTCGTGTTGAACTTACGGTTTCTAGTATTATATTAATGGTCATTACTTGAAACTTGTTCCATGTGAGATACTTAGATTTGAATTTTGAATTGCATTTTTATATTAAAATCAGTATGTGTGATTCAGCTGAAAAATTCACATTTAATTCTAAATTTAAATCTGAGATATGTATTAATAGTTATCACTTGAAACTTGCCTCGTGTGGAATACTTAGATTTTAATTCAGGGCTACACCTGAGCCTTCCAAAGTTAAATCATATAATCATATATCCAACATTGTATCTGTAATCGCGATTCGACTGATAGCTAACATCTAACTTTGAATTTAAGTAAACTGAGTATTTCACCCCGAGACGAGTTTTAAGTAATGACTATTAAAATACGGACCTCTGAGTCTGAGATTGTACTCGGCTGCGACGTAAGAAGAGATCGGAATCTTTCGATGATCGGCTGAGTGATCGTTCGTGAGAACTGCATGTTTCCATTGCACCGGGCAACCCCTGTCTGCGTTGTGCAAAGGACGAGAGAGGGATAACTATGAAAGCATAGTCAGTATCTGGCACTTTTCCACCTGTCGTCAACGTATTGAGATTTTGCGAGCCAAAGTCTTTTTAGTTTGCAACCTGCCGAGGCGAGACGCTGAATTGTATAAGGGATCGTAAAGGAGTAAAACGTATAATTATCTGCGGAATGTTGAACTATTTTGATATTTTATATGGATTTTTGCTGTGAGTGTGTACATAGGGAGTAGAGTTGAACTCGCGAAGAAAGTATTATATCAGCGAGAGAAATTTAATATACTAGCGCAAAGTGCAAGAGAATCGGTGACTTATTGTTGCCGCTGAATTGTATGTATAACGAGTGAGAGTGAGAAAGTGTGTGAGAGAGAGAGAGAGAGAGAGAGAGAGAGAGAGAGAGAGAGAGAGAGAACTGCAGCGACACCGATGTAACGTTGTATCGCACAGACTTGCGTCGAGTTCTCAACGATCATTCGAGCTTGCGGGATTTCGCGCAGAAGCTTCGAATCTCCCGGAGAGCTCACACTGCACGGTGGTCTAAGACAGATATGTCTCTTCAAAACTCATTTTTTTCTTTTAATTTCACCCGACATAATTGCTGACGTAAATGTAGCTTTACGATGTTCTATAGTCAAATAATCAAGAATTGTTATCATTTGTTATTTTCTTACCAGTAAATGTGATACTAAAAATATCACTCACTCAAAGGTAACTTGTAGTCACATCTGTTACATTGTCAAAATTATGCCACATATTATATTAATTGAAATGGTGATTCTAGCATGATACATATTTAATACGCTAAAAGAACGTGTTCCAAAATAATTCCACATTTCGTTATCTTTTTCTTCTGAAGTGAAATAATAACTAAATTTGTGGATGAAGTAAGCGTAATTCTGCGATGGGAAAGTGTTTTCTTACCAATGGTTCAAGAAAAGTTCTAAGAGTTTTTGAAAGAAAAACTAAAATTTTGTAACAATCATCAACATTTATATTACTAACATCTTTTGTATTCATTTTACCCTTTGCAAATAATTAATCTTTTTTAAATACATATAACGTGTTCTACCGGACTCTGCATAAAGTTTAGGGAGAATGAGAAAACAAAAATACTCAATTAAATGACGTAAAATCCTTCGTATTCAAGAATATCGTAAAGGAAGAAACTACGGTATTGTTCAGAAAGAATTATTCATAAGAAAATCGAGTTATTTCTTATGCGTCTGAGAGGAAAGTGAATTAAATGCTGTATCATTTATAGTATAGTTATTTTCCTCTTTTAAAAACATATTTTTTGTATAAACCATCGTTTCTATCAAGAGTCAGAGTTCCGGCCAAGAACTTTTACTTTCAAACCACCGTGCAGTGAGAGCTTCTCTCAAGAACGCTTTCGAAGTCGGACGTTCAATTTCGGCTGGCAGTCTTGCTCGCATCACCCCGTTTGACGATTCGTCCGAAGTGACATTAAACGACGGTACATACGCGAGGACGGAAGTTCTATTCGTAATACGACAACACGTATCGTCGCTCCAGCAATCAAACACCAAGTCGACAGTTTAATCAAACGCTCTACGCTAATTGCACATTATTTACATGTACCACGATATATCTCGCCGGTGTGCGCGCATTGACACGATATATGCCCCCGTCTCGAGAACGAAGATGAGTGAACACGTGCAATGTCTTCCCCGTGTATATTTACGGTGTAGCATACTATACGCTAGAAGTGTGTTAAATGTTCGCAGTATTGACATTTCCGGAAACGTGTTTCACAGTGTCCGTGATAATAATTCGATCGCGTGGTTTCGCCGTTTGATCGTCCAGCGGAAACCCCGCGCTTTCCCAACATCGAGAGAACTGTTCGGCCGAATTATCTCACGCACACGCAGAGAAGTGTGTAAATCTTCTTTTTTTTCTCGTAATTAGAAATTCCTCCGATTCTGCTACTACGTTCTCATATTTATCTCTAAGAGTGAGAGAAAAAGAGGGAGGAAAAATTGTGCGTCTTTCAGAGAAGAAAGCGAGAGTGATCTTTAGTTCTCGCGAGGCCCGGTTTCACCGGTGAGGTTTCGGTGAGGTTCGCTCGAGGATTGTTCTAACGCTACTAGAAGAAAGTTCATGTCGATACCGTTACGATACCATCAAATCGATAAAAATAGTACCGTTCTGTTCGCGTATAGACGATTATTTTTGCGCGAGATAGCCGCTCCTTGCCGAGGACGTATACCTTCGCAAGATATTTTAATAATATACGATAAATAGTAACTGCAGTGTTACCTGATGTGAATTTTTGTATTATTGTAAAGACAATAATTTTATTCGGATTGTCACATGAATCGCGAGGAGAAACAAACAAACAAACAAGATAGATGTATCGGCATAAAGCTATATACACACTATTCTTCGCATCTATAGAACGGATAAATTAACGAAAAGCGAAAAAAAAAGATAAAAAGGTATAAAATTAGGACAAGGTTTTAACTCTATGACACACAGATCAAGTATTAGGAAAAACACGAGAACTAGAGAGGAAACACAGTACATATATACACAACACACACACACACGATTTTTCGTAGATAACCCACATATCCAAGTTCTACTTGTGACCACTTAAAATGGAATTTATTCTACAATTTTCCGAGAAAACGAAAATAAGGCAGAGAGTATGGGTGTAAAACGTCGATGTCCGTTTCGGTGATTTTATACGGCTGATGAGTAACGAGCGAATTTCCGCACTCTTATCGATCTTCTCAGACTCGAATCAACCATTTCAGACGGATATCGCATGCCGCAGATCGAAATTCATTTTCCGCCCGAATAGGATATAATAGACAAGTTCGAGAACCGCCTCGCCATACGACAGAAAGGCGCGTTTAATTTAAGATCGGAATTTTCTTCTATTCCTCCGAATAAACAGTCTTTTTTCGAATCTTCTCTCTAAAGATAAAGGCATGATGAAAGGAATAAAGGAATTAAATGAACGGAATTAGAAATAAAATACTGGAAATAAGCTACTTTAAAATACAATAAAATGGAGAGAAAATAATATATAAGAATGTTTTAAAACAAGATCACATTACTTTTACTATATATATATATATAATTTTCTAATGAATCTATTGTCGCGTCATTAACATTTATCATTTTCTTGATAATTATTAAATCAATAATTTATATGATTCAAACTGACTTTCATTGATATATTGATGATCATTAGATATCATGAATGTTAACTATCAGTCAACTACTAAATCTTATAAGCACACAAGTTATAAGGAATAGATTTTCGACCTAATTTTAATTTTCTACCATTTTATTGTGAATTAAAGATTGTTCATACGTTGAAATTTAATTCTTGACCTCTAATTCTGTAAATTTAATTCCTCGTTTTTTATTCCTTTCATTATTCGTGTCTCAGCCGCAATTGATTTGTTTCATTCGTATGGGATGTATTTCTGTAAATCGGCAGCTGTTAATCCGTTATACATTGAACTGCTGCGTGGAACATTGTACACCCATACTTACGAACTCCGAAGAATCCTTTCATGCAGACACGTACACGAATAGCGCTAGGACAATTAATACAGCGATAAAATGTACCTGTACACATCGACCATACTGATGGTTTGCCTCTACATACGGACGCTTATAAGTTCCGGATTTCAATCCATATGTATTTCCGCGAAACCTCGAGATCAACAATTACTAGCGAACGTGTAGGAACAGTGACAGACATATTTATTTTCCTTCGACCGTCCCTCGGATCTATTTCGATTAAATCAGGTCACATCAAATTGTAAATATCTTGCAATACGTTTGACAAATTTTGATATTACTCTCAAAAAAGTTAACAAAGAGAAATTCTTTTGCGAAGATTGTATTTCTTTCTTATAATACAAAGGGATCAATATTGAGATGGAAATTCCAGTATAAGCCTGACACCTTTTGGTAGCGGTATGTTTCAGTGAGAACTACACACTGTTTTCTTTCAAACGAGCATTACTTAATCCAATAGAGTCCAAGGGATAGAAGAAGATTAAGCACATATGCATGTACGGCTTATCATTGTTTTCGATCGAGAAAGAGAAAGTTCAATGGCAATTAAAAGTAAGTCACGTGCATTAAGTTTCGCACGCGACGACACAGCAGAGATATACAAATATTTTGTGAGAGGCAAATTCGTAAATTAGGTAAAATGAAAAAAAGAGAAATATATATATATATATATATATATATACACACGTATAAATATAAACGTAAACAAATATATTTAATAAAATTCCTTCACGTATTGTAAGCTCGAAGAGATACTCAATCTAACCGAATGGATTCCGATAATTTTGTTAATTAGCCGTGATGATGTTGAAGATACGAGTTGCCGATATATCAGTAGTTATTAACCAAAGCCGTAACGACAGATATAGGTAACAGTGAACGGATAAAATTATTCTTACAATTTGTGAAGTTAAGGGCGAAAGAGGGAGAAGGAGACCGAACGAAAGAGAAATATAATATGTTACATCGTACAGAGATTCTAGGAATATAAGGAGCTTCTGCTGTATAAAAATTCTCACTAAGTGTTACTCTGTTACATTAACGATCACATAATTATTTATTTTCAAGAGTACTACGTAGCGCTTTCCTTGATATCTACTGAAATAAGCTAAAGTTGAACGAAAGAGAGAGAGGGGTGGGAAGGAGAAAGATGATTCTTGTATAGATACGACAACGTCTATGAGACTCGTTATGGAAGAAACGGACGTTAATTTATTCTTTACAGTCGCGCGGGCTGCGTATCTCGATAACGGAAGAAGCGTATATAGCGTGGGTTTTCTCTTATAAATATTAATTGGGGATAAGTATATAATAGAGAGCAACTAAGTCTGTAATTACGCGAGAGAGTTGTATATAATGTGTATAACGTATTATATATATATATATATGCATATGTTATTTTTGCGTTCGCCGAGCCCCTTTCGTTTTAGTCATTTTTATATAAATACAGTATTGTCAAGATAATTTATGATTATAAACGTATCTCTGATTTACCTGTGTATTTACGAAAAAGAAGCAACTAGCCAAACTCTTCTGTAAATAGATCTCGTAATAAAAGCTAGCTAAAGAGAAAAAATGTGGTTGAAAATATTCGGCGTTGCGAACGTCATTTCGAACGGTTCCCGTTGTCATTGTATATTTTGCAGGTACTTACCTAAAAAAACGTTGTTATACATTTCGAGTCCCCAGCCACTTCCTGTCGGTATGAGAAACGGAGAATTCAAGATATTGCGGCAGGTTTTATAAAATGTTATATTACTATGTACATCAATAGCACAATACATATATGTCTATATATATATATCGACTATTCTCTTTGTTCGCAAAACAGCTTCTTACAAATGGCATGTTCTGTGACTTTATAACGGTGAGACGCGGTTATCGCAATGCGGTCAATCATCCCCCCGCCGAAAACCCTCAATGCTTTACGTCGCGATTTGAAATTTTCCCTGAAATTATCGACAGGCACTTATCAACGATCGCAAATTTGCTGAGATCATTTGTATAAAAGCGACATTCCGCATATTCTATTGAGTAAACGGTCCCTATCGTGACATTAATTAAATAAAAAAATTAAGTAAATACGATTGAGACTAATGTAAAATGTTTTCATCTTTCCAGTATTCGCCCCTCCTCGCCTCTCTTCTCCTCTCTCTCTCTCGTTTAATCAATTAATATGCGAAACATCGTTTTGTATTCGTCTCGTTTAATCGATCAATGTACAGAATACCGTTTTGTGCTGACGTTTGTACATTCGTTCGCAGAACGATGTAGATACATTTATTTTCAATGAAGTTGTGGGAGCGCTTTAAGTTGCCATAATACGAGTTCCTATCCCTGACAGGTTTGCGCATTAATCATTTGTAATGACAGCCGAAATGACAGATACAGTACAATATACATGTCTTTACCGTCTCATTATACGCACAAGGTTGAAACCATTTGTAACTAGAGTCATTATAACTCAACCGTCATAATTAGAATTAATTCAGAATGCGGACCTTGATCTACGAGATGGTAAAGTACATACAACGCAATGTGTACACAGAGCAAATACATTAGTCCCCTTTATTATGCTTTTATCTTTTATCTAGCAGATAAGAGTATAATAAAGATGCTTTACGTTTCTTTTTTTTCTTTTTTTGCAATTGTGACGTCCAATATTTCGTACACTGTCATCTCGGCTCCCGTCGTGACCGATTGCCGCGCAAGCTCGTGACAGCTCGTAATCGGACTACTCAATGCGGCCCACCCAACTTTCTCGCCGAAATGTGTCCCGATCGTTTCGCGAACGAATGCACGAGGTAACATTTTGCCTTATTCCAACCGATATTTTAATAATTACAATTTATTAATTACAAAACGACGATGTCAGAAACGAGTCACAGTTATCTAAAAAAAAAAAAAAAATATCCTAACAGAGTGGAAAATTGATTAAGAGTGACGTTTGTCCAAACAATACCGAACTTGCAGGCTCGTATTGCGGCTCCATATGCGTATCAAGTGTCCCCCTTCAATCAAAATCTAGATGACTTCGTAAATGCTTCTGTATAACTATAATTAAACATGTGTGTTCTCCGTGTATTTTCTATGTATAACATAAGTATAATATGAAACAATACTTAATATACATCAACAGTCTATAGGGGATAAGTATCAAGTATGAGAACTCGGCGTGTAATTTCTTACATTTCTATGAGATATGACACGTGAACGTGCACGTGGGCGGTCTCCTTCGCGCTGACACCGAAGTGCGGTACGAAATCATTACATATCAACGGTATCGCCTCACGATGTTAACGGCATTCCAGGCACGTTTGAAGAAACTTGCAAATGCTGAACTTCACCCAGTTCTCTGACTTTTTCTCGGTACAGCGGCTTGTAATAGAATGGAACGATCGCTTCCAACTCGCTCGTCGGTGGGAGCGACGTGAGAAATCTGAACGTGAGACATCTTTCTCTCCGTTGGGGCAATTAAACGACCCTGTTCTCTGCATCCTTGAGTCGTGCATGTCACAATGTCTCAAGTTGCCTACATACATTGTCTAGAGGTACCTTGAACCTACAGAGTGCTAGACTTCATCGTCTGTATGTCGTTGAGTGTAAAATTCTGCTTGAACCATCAAATTCCAATGAAATTCGAGCCACTCGAAGCATCAAGTTCCGATACAACTGAAAGCCCCGCTTAAGCCCCGGTGAAACTTGAACCAACAAGTTAAACCACTCAAATTCGAATGAAACTTGAAACAATCGAGTTAAACCTTGAGGTGTCAATAAAACTTGAATCGCCTAAATCGAACCGTCAAGTTTCAATGCAACTTATTAATAAACCAATGAAGTCGAGGCACCAAGTGTCAATGGAATTGGAACTACTCAAGTTGAACCGTCAAGTTCCAGTGAAACTTGAAGCGATCGAGTTGAAAAGTTTGAACGGATTTCGAGGAAACGCTGCGTCTACCTGCACCCAAGTATAAAAGCATTCCCTTCGCGTAGAACTCGCCTCACGCTGCGTGTACCCGAGGCCTTCTCGGATGATTCTGTCACGCGATGGGCGCGTCAACCCGTGTCCACGTGGCCCTGCAATTGACCTACTATCTTCCGCACCCAGCCTGCCTGGCTCTGGCCCGCGGAGACGTCGTCCCCGTTCGCTTCGACCGCGTCCCGCGGATCGCCACCCTGACAGCCGTTCGCCGACGGTAATCTCGCGGTGACGTTGCCGACGACGAGTTCCGGCTCACCGACGGCGTTGCCCTTCGCCAAGGCCGACTTCACCCTCAGGTAATCCGGCTTCCGCGCAACGTTCGGCCTGTACCTCGACAGCGAAGAGGACGTGTCCTGCTTCCTCTTGGCGGGTATCGGTGGTGCGAGCTTCGCCTTCGTCGGCTGTTGCGCCACGAACACCTCGTCGACGTCGCTGAATATTGCACTGTCCCGGAACGCTTCGTCCACGTCGGCATCTACGTAGTTTTCGATAGTCTCGAAGCATCTCTCGTAGAAGCTGTCGGTCTCGCTCTCGCGACGCTCCCCGGCGTTGTCGCACGGCTCCTCCTCTCCGCAGTCTCTGCCGTCGGTCTTCTTGAACCGATCGGAGGACGACTGATTGCGCTTGTTCTCGGCGAAGAGGATCGCCGGGTCGGCGTAGTCCGACTGCGCGATCCTGGCGCCCAAGCTGGAGCTGCCCTGCTTGTAGTAGAGCAGAGGCACCCGCTGGTCCGAGACACCGGCGCAGCCCACCAGCTCCTCCACGTCCGAGGACGACTCCTTCGCCTGCTTCGACTTGTTGCGCCTCTTCAGCTGACACTTGCCGACGCCCAGAGACGGGAAGTGACGCGCACGCTCGAGCTCGTCGCTGCACTCGAGGGTCTCCGTGCTCATGGTGTTCCGTAGACCCTGCAGCCGACTGCCAGCCTTGGAGAAGACGTTCCTGAAAATCGCGCTGCCGCCGTTCGCCCGGTAAATCTTGTGGTCCGGGTGGATGCTCGCGCCGTTCGCGGACACGCGCACGTCCGCGTACGCGTCCCTCAACGCCGCGTCCTCCAGTGAGCAGAGGAAGGTCGACGAGCTGGAGGAGCTCGTTGAGGTGGGCGTCGGGAACTTGGCGATCCTGCCCTCGGGCTGGCACGTGGACGCGTACCTCTCCATGTCCTCGAGATTAATCTCGGCCGGCTTGTCGGACGCGATCGTGAACGGCCGCTCGCTCATCGGCTTGCCGTCGCGCTGCAGAAAGCGCGACTTCGTCACGCCCGGCTGGGAGTTCGGGCTGATCTGGAAGCTGCGGGGCAACGAGCCGCACTTGGGCGGCGAGGTTGGCAGCCCCTCGCACAGCTTGGTGAGCCAAACCGCCGGCTGGGTGGGGCCATCGACGTCCTTCTCCAGACCCTCCCAGACGTGTTGCAGGTTGTCGTAGTTGCCGAAGCCCTTGGAGTCGCGCGTCGCCGCCTCGCTGCCGTCGCAGCGTTCCGCCCTCGGGGAATTCAACTCCTTTCGTTGCTCCGGTCGCGAAGCCTGGCCCGGAGAGGAGTCCGATATCGGCTCCGCGTTGCCGGCGTCACGGATCCGCAGCGCCGTCTTGATTACCTTGCTGTCCGTGACGATGCTCTGCCGCTTGAACGCCTCGAAGAGCGCCCGCTTCTCGTGCACGTGGTTCGTCTTGGCGCTGCGCGCGAGGATCGACGCCTCGGTGGACTTCTGGCTGGTCTTCAGGTTGTCGTAGAGCAGCTGCAGCGGCGGATTCTCCCGCGTCGCCGCCGAGGACAGCGAGTTCCACGCGTTGTTCGTCCGGATCAGACGCTGTTCTCGTTGCGTGAATCGCCCACGGCCCAGTCGGTTGTTGCTGCTGTTGTTGTTGTTGCTGTTGTTGTTGTGGCCGGCCGAGCCGGCGACGTAGCTCTCCGCGTCGCTCTCGTCCGACGTGTCGGCCGTGATGCGCTTGTTGAAGCGTTGCTGCCGCACGTTGATGATGCTGTTGGTCCGCTGCTTCTCCAGCAGCTTCTGGAACTCCTGGTTCTGCTTGAGGATGTGACCGACGATCTGCTCCACCGTCTGCGCCTCGGCGGCCTGCTGCTGCTCGCTGTGGTTGTTCTCTTTGGCTTCGACCGCTGGCGAGCTCAACGTCGCCGCTTTCTGCTCCTCCTCGCTCGAGCGAACCTCGGCCGCCTCCTCGGTCTCGGCGGTTGCGGACTCCACGTCCGCGCCCGCCTCGTCCTTCCGCGCTTCCTCCTCGTCGGAGTGGTTGAGGCACACGTAAGACTGGAAGCCGGGCTCGGACTTGCGTCTCCAGCCGGTGAAGCGATCCTAAACGGAGGATTTCGGGATAGACTCGTCGAAACGTACACGGTGCTTCGTGATTTTTCTACGGGATTCCGCCGTTCCCGAGGTTCGGGAAAAGAACGGGGAATCTTCGTGACACGCGAGTACTCCAACAAGATCGAACAACGTTCTTCCATGGAATAAGTTCGAAAGCTACTAATTAAGTTATCTGTGCAAGTTCGTATGACCGGAGACCATGAATGATCACGTTGGTAGAATGACTTAACAGTACCTTATCTAGTTTCGTTCCTGTATTATCCGAAAAAAAGATGACTTGTCATTATGGTTTTGCGATGGCCATATGCAGGATGTTCCGCGAAGAAACCGACATACTTCTAATGATGACGAATGAATGAGGTCCAATGACCTCTACAACACATTCGAGAAGTTTGCCGGTTTCTTCGCGAAACACCCTGTACGTTACGCGATAATTATTGCGAGTAATAACGACGAAAATCAGAATCAAGCATTTTTACCTTGACTTTCGATGCTCGCGCATCCGAGGACCTGTTGAAAGTTTGCTCCCTGGAGTCGTTAATGATGCGATTTTCGTTGTCGTTCTTGCGCGACGACGCGGGCGAGCTCTGATCGTACATCGATGGAAACATGATAACATTATAGTTAATGAGACGTGGGGGAAGGGGGGGGCATAAAAATGAACACGCTAATATTTTCAACGGATCTCACCTCTATCGCGGTATCTGATTTTCTGGAGCCCTTCTTGAACTTCTGCCTGAGACCGGTTTCGGATCTGCGTCTCTCCCTCTCCTGCTTACGTTTCTCCAAGTATTCCAGAGGTGCGGAATACTTCTTCGCCGAGCTTTTGTCCGCCAAGGCGTCATCTGTGCGAAATGATTCGTGTGTCACTTTCGTGTCGATTTTTAGTAAAGTAAACTTCAAGTTTGCCATTTGTACCTTCCTGTTGCGTTTGACCCAGTTGTAAGACCAATTGTCTCGCGTGCGAAGGAATCACTGCGTTGTAATTTTCTAATATTACTCTCTTAATCAGAAAAGTCCATTCTCTCTTTTGTTCTAAGTTGCGCGCCTGAAAGACGAACGATAGTCTGTTAAGTGAATGCACGTTCATCCTCGGCTGCGATTTCTGAATTTTAGTTTGCGACGTATTTCCATGGTTCTTACTTGTAATGTATACTGCAATCGAGGATTGTCGAAAGGTATTACGTGAAAACTAAGTGGCTCCCCTGGGATACTTTCGATCAGCATCAAGTTTGAACACTAGAAAAGAAAAATTAAATTTGCGCACAATTTTTAATTTAAATATTTAAGTAATCGCGATTAACTTGAGAAAAATCTGACGATTACACATGTAAGAGTAGAATAAAAAAATAAGAGAAATATCTTCTTAATAAAATATTTAAATACAGAGTGAGGCAATAACTATTACCAACTTAAATGTCTTCGAGAAACATAAATATTTTATTAACGAGTAGATGAAGACGGAAAAAATTTACATTTACAGAAACTGCTCGAAATGATGTCCATTGGCATCGATGCAATTTCTGTTAAGTGAATTTCCCTCCTGATCTCATATTTCTATTCAAAGTGATGACAGTTATTGCCTCTCATCCTGTACACTCGAAAATAAATCAATACATAAACATATTGACAGGAGAATAAATTTGAAGAAGGCGGCGGAAAATGACAAAAGGAGAGGCGGAAAGTTGTGAAAGAGATCGTACCATAATGTGAGCTTTATACACGAGAAGGCCATCCTCCCTTTTCTTCGTGAGCATTAGCATTCGTTCGAAAAGGGAGGCGTGCCTCGGCACCTTGGCCCCTCGCATCCTGAATTGGCCCTCCATAATCAATTCGCCGCATGTAGTTAGGTCTGGTCCCAACCAACCGTACAAAAGTGATTGAATCTCCTGAACGCGTACGGCGTGCTCGTGCCGCTTCTTCATGGCATTGATGTCCTCCGCAATGCCAGTCATCGCGGCGAGAGCAGCCTCGATGGCACTTCTGCCCTCATCAGCCTCGTTCTCTCTCGAATCACAATCGGCACCGTACTCCTTCGACAAATTCTGTCAGGGAAAGTTCACGTTCCCCGTCAACAATGTTATCCCGACTCGAAATTATCGTACGATTCACGGCGTAATCTCTGATCTTTCTAAGATTCCTTTTCGGGATCGACCTTCCGAAATCTTCAGTTTTCGCGGATAAGGAAAAAATTTTGATGTAATATTCATTCGAGAAATAATTTTGATATTCGTTTTACCTAAAATGGAGAAAATGTTGAACTTCCTATGCATATTTGGAAAGTGTCAGGAACGATTTTCGTCAATTTAGCGTTAATTTACAAAATTCATTTCGTGTTCGTACATTTATTTCATTTAGTGTTGATTTACAAAAAAAAACTCGGAAAATATCGCACATATCAATATTGAAATTGGACCAATCAATATTTATTGCGGTTTATAGAAGGACGAATGTTTTCATGTACATTTTTATACTTTCTTCCTAACGCAAACCACAGAATGACATTGCCCGGCCGGCCCACGGTACTGTCATAGACGTATACGTTTGCACGAGCATAATACACGATTTCCACACGACCAAAGTGTTTCGTTACCTTCAGAAGCAGGTGATACTTGAGAATCCTTTGGACAGGCTTCAAAAGAAACGATCCGAGCGGCAGCGCGTGCCCCAGGGCGGCTTGTCGTTCACAAAAAGCGGATGCGATTTCTTCCCGGCTCATTAGATCGGTCAGTACGGAGACTGCCCTAAAATAAATTCGATTAACATCCTGCATCGAGATCGCCGTCGGTCAACAACATCCTTACTTTGGATAATTGGTGCAGTAGTCGGTGTACACTTTAAATCCTGATATGTGCTGAATAAACGTATCCGCAACGTAAACTGGATCTAAACCGCATTTCTCGAGTTCTCGCAAAAATTCTCTGAAACGAGTCAACGTTGACTTTTTGCCGCACGAAGAACTATCCGAAAAATAATGACGTAAACCGATAGAAAGATAGAAAATAGACGACTTAAATTAAGTTAATTAATGATTTAAATTTAGTTAACTGTGATTAAATTAAATTTACTTAAATTTACTTAAAAAATTTAAATTGATTTAAAATTTAATTATAAAAAAGAAATTGTATCTGTCTATATCGACGTTTTTCGAATGCTCGCTATAATTAAGTTAGATTTAGTTTTGTCAGTAATATTAGCTTTAAAGTTGTCGCCATGTCTTTTGGTTAGCTTAGTAATGGAGTTTACGTCTCCTACATATATAAATCAATATCTTTATAAGTGTTATAAAGTTATATTATTATTACTTGTTACTGTGTCAAAATGACACAATGTATACTACGTACCTATTAAATTTGAAGATATCTTCAATATTGCTAAATAAATCGCCGAGATGCAATTGTCGCGCGAACAACGGATCGTCTCGCCAGAATATGAGATAACCCTGCAAATATCACATAGGAAAAACGTCCCTCCACAAGTCCTCCGGGAAATATTTTTAAATTAACACGTGCAATCACGTAAGCCAGTAACGCTCTACAGATGCGACGGCTGAATCAGCCTCGAGAGCTCGACATTATCCATCATCGTCAGATCGCTTATAGACGCATCGCGATAGCAACGGAAACGAACCTGAATAACTTGGCGCAGATGCTCGACGTATATCGCCTCCGTGTCCACGATCTCCAGGAGTACCATCTCGACGGGATTGCGGTGCAGGTCGCAATAGCGCGGCCTGTGACACGCGGGATCCTCCTCGGCGCTGTCCCTTCTCTGACCATTGTCGTCGTTCAAGATTCGACAACTGGCTTCCGAGACTGTCACGACTCCGCTATCCGCGGAACCTAAAACAAATTAAAGTCGAAGACTTTAATCTCGCTTCACGGAGCATGAATATATTAATGAGACTCCTTATTGACGATAGTCGTGTGTTCCGAGTGAGTTCCAAGTTTTCCACGATTCGTAGAAATGATTTCTACGATTGGAACCGATTTTTATTTCGACTTATTTTTATGATTAGAGAACACAAGTCAAATTAATAATTTAAATCATTAACCCCTTCATCTAAACATTTATTATATTAATATATTTAATTAATTGTAAACTTTAATATAACAAAATATCTTTTGACGAGAACATTCGAAAATTCGAATTCTCATTTTCCTGACAACTATATCTCTTTGGCTGAGGCAACATTTTGCAAATCGGGCTCAAAAATTATATTCAGCACACCCAGAAATCCTTAGTTACACTTTGCTTCACTAATAGAATCGCCTCTGATATTTAACCAAATATTTAATGACGAGAAAGTACAATTTTCGCGATAGTGAACGCAAAGTTCAAAATAACGAGAATTCTCGTCATCGACGGTGAAGGAGTGAGCCAATTATTTCTATAATTGAAGCAAATCATTTCTACTTCGAATTATGTCTACGATTGAGACAAATCACTTCTACTTCGAATTACCTCTACAACCGGAACAAATGCAAAAGTAATATATCTGAAATATTTTCTGCACAGCAAAATGCAAGAGGAGTACTTACCCTGGGAACTGGCGCAGGTATCGGCGAGGGATTCGACGGACGCCAAATAGGGATTGACCGTGCACGTGTTACCTTGATTGCTGCAGCTACTAGAGGACGTGCTGGACGCGATGGAGCTTCCAGAGAGCGGTCTACCGCCGTTTCTGCAGCGCCTGTTGTATCTAGCAGAATCAAAGACGATATCAAATCAATCAGTCGGCCAATCAATCAACCCTCGAATCAAGTTCCTCTCATGAATCTTTTCATCTCGATTTTCCCCTCTGATCTTCCAAATTCGAATTAACATAACTCTCCACGAAAAGAACCATGATTCATATCACGAGCGACTTACAATACCGAGCGGCACAGCGAAAGATGCTATCAGACCGAGGAGCATTCGAAACGAAATGAGATCGAGAATAGGAGAGCTCGCCGTGGGAAGGTCACGAGGGGTGAGAGAGAACTATAACGGTCTCTCGGTGACCCTAGCGTTTGGCGCACACCGGCGGATCGCGAGGAGCAGATCGACGTTGGATAATACCTAAGCGGGGTGAGACTGCTGCTCTCTCGCCTATAGGACTGCTTTTCCTCGGTGGATCCCCCGTTACGTTCATCCTCCAGCGACGTCACGGACTCCGCAACGACCGTCTCCAGCATGGTGTTGCCGGTGGCGTCTGTGTGCTCCTCTTTTCCGTTGTTCCTCGGATCTCCTTGATGCGCGGACTTAGCCAGGTCGCCGTTGGTGCACAGTTGACCGAATATGGAGCCCCGATGAGCGGCCGGTACCAGGCTCAGGCGTTTCTGCAAGGCCGTCGGGATCCCGCAGGACGACGTCAAGACTCCGTGCTCGCCGCTATAGCCATCGCGTCGACGCGCCAGCTCGTCGAACATACCCAGCAGTTGCGGCACCAGATCGGTTGTAGTGCCTGGAAACGAGAAATCCCGAAGATATCGTTAGATAGTTCATCAAACGACGTGGTTTAATGCGTCGGTGCCTTCGTGTTTTTTTCTTGGAGGGAGGGAACGGGGATAAATTTGCCAGCACAGCTGCTTCTCTTTGCGAGCAATTCCTGTCGGAGAATAATTGCGGGATCGTTTAACAGCGAAAGAAAAAATCTCGACCAGTTGAAGGAGGTTCAGAAGATAGTAAATTATATTCTTTGTCCGCCATTGTATTAAATTAAGGGTCGAAGGAGAATTGTAAATATAACACCACATTCGATGAGTTGAATCTTAAATTAAAGTCTTTCTCTCTTCTCTTGCGGAATAACTGTACCTAAAATCGCGATGTGAGTGATGAGGATTGGCAAGTGGAATTCAGATGTAAGAACGCCGGTTGAAGAAACACATACACGTTGAGTCTCGCTCTTATTAACATTAATAATAACCTCCAATCCACGCGAGACGGAGAATGGCTTCGTTCGCGCGAAAATGCTGTCAACGCTTTCTTTCGTGTAATGATCAATCATTCCCGGGCATATTAGAGATTCTGAGAACGGCGTCTTGAAATTACGAGCCTTTCTTGGCACTCGGCTTGATTCATCGAAGCGGTAATGACGATAATTAATAAATGAGGACGCACATCGCCGCATTGTCATGACAACGTAATGAAAATTCATTTTTCTTACTCCACAGCGCATGATATATTGCCAAAGAAATTATCTCGCGCAATTTGATACGTATAATTAGTCGTATATAAGTTGTAACGATCACAACATTTGAGCACGCTTTTGCGTCTCGTAAAATATATTTTGCAAAATCCGCGTTAAAGTCTAAGGAATCTTTTTTTTTACAAATATACCTGTCTCTCTCTCTCTCTCTCTCTCTTTCTTCCTCTCTACGTGAAAAAAAATTTAGTATCAATTCAAGATTCATATTCTTATATAGTAAATAATAAATATCATATATATTCTTATTATTCAAGAATAATTTTCATGAACTAAGAAGAAAAAGTATTAGATAGAAGGAAAGATATCTTCAAACTGATTAATTCTTAGCTTGAAGATATCGTTTTTTCTATCCAATATTTTTCTGCTCAATTCATAAAACTTATTCTTGAATAATACAAGAATATATTTTCAGTGAATCTATATAGAATTTCTTCGTATAAGCAAGTTTTACCTTCACGTAAGATTATATTCCTGCTTATATATGAAAATATAAGTCTTGAATTGATACTAATTTTTTGTCCGTGTATCTATTTCTTTTTGCGGAAATTTAGCCAGACATTTTTCTCACAATATAAATTTCTTAAAATCGAACACCAGAACCTCGAAACACGTTCCACCAAAGCGGAGTCCGCGCTCGAAATTAATTAAAGAGCGATTTATTATCTTCTGCATCTCCGAGAGTCTCCCGACGTTCTCTCTTTTTTCAACGCTGCGCGACCCCGTAATTACAGAACGGTGCAAATTTTTGCCCAAAAACAAGCGGTCACGTGAATCGATCGATGAGCAGCCGCGTTGCTGAACGCACGATACGTAAACCTCGCGAAACGTGATGTACTGGGCAGCGAAGCAGCCAATGAAATTAATAACCGCAAGCGTTCGCCTTTATATCGCGGCCGATTCATCTGGATCTTTCGCGCTATTAAATTTACACGGGAGCAACGGCGCGCACGCACCTATTGACATATATCCGCGATATTTCATGAATTGCGAAAAAATCGCCCGTATAAGCGGAGCAAAAGGGTCATCTCGCTGCTGCCGTCGGCTTTTATCGTTAATGCGATCGCCTTCAATTAACTCGCTCCCCGTTTATCGGCGCTAAAAGATTGGCGGGCGGTCTGTGCCGATCCGATTACTCGCATACACACACACACAAGCCCCAACGTGTAATTACACAAATGTACACACGTGTATAGGTCCACGCGTGTTTTCCGTACGATAACCGCATGTACTGGGTGTCCCTGTTTCATCCTCTTCTCTCTTTCTTTTCTTTTTAACGTCAGACATCTCTCAATTGAAATTCAGACCCCGGTTAGTTTAGATGAATCGAATTTCAGATTTATAGTCCATTCCCCGAAAGAAATTTAATTTGGTCAAACATGAGAGTAAATTTTTGCGATATTCGGTTACATAGGATCAATCATTATTATTATCCCGAATACCTCTGAAAAATAAAAGTATTTTATCAACGACTGGATAAAGATGGAAAAAGTTTACATTTACAGAAAATGTACAAAGTGATTACCATTGGTACTAACATAATTTCTGTTGATTAAATTTCTCTTTTACTCTTTTATTTCGAAAGTATTTAAGGTCGTATATGAGAGAAAAAACAACTACATTAATTTACTGAATTTCCCATTGCTTGAGCATCAAATAAATGAATGAGCATAAAAAATAATTAAACAGTTGTAGGAACGGATTCCTGTAGGAAGTTACTTAATTGTAGGAAGTTAGTTAACTTATTCAATTGTTTTCAGTTATCTCAACCGAGCTTTAATGCGGCTGAATGTTCGCACTAATGTTCTCATTCTCGGTAACAAAGATATCATTTCTCGTCACCGACGAAAATTTTTATTTTTTGTCTGCAACTTCTTATTTAGTCCCTGTTCAGTTGCAGGAATTGACTTTTTTCGTGTGATAATTATTATCTCATTTTGTATATCATATTCCAAAATGTTTGACCTTCATTTCGACGACATAGTTATCAGTGGATTTCAAATGGAGAAATTAACTCTCCGTTAATCACTATATTTTTCACCCATGAATGATAGCAATGTATCTCACGGATACATTAATTTTCCCATTATTTATGTCTGCTTCTTGAAACAAATTTTCTTTCATCAGCACTTGGCTAATAAACCAAGCATTGAAGTACATAAGAAACAGTGAAGAACAAATTGACAAATATTAGGATGGTATCTATTGGACTAACTCATATTTATTGCCACTAACAGAGGGTTAAGATGCGATATAAATTAGATATCTTTTGATTCATCATTCATTAGAGAAGGTTTGGTCGCGTCTGATGAAGGGTTGACGGGAAAGACGACAAGTTCAAGACACCCTGTGCAGAAACCGGGTCGACCGATCGCCGTGGCGCGGATACATCTCGGCACTTCGCTCTCGTGTACGTATGGCGCATACGTGGAAGCCGATTGTACAAACAAACGAGCGAGACGATGGTTTCCAATTTCCTCGGCGGCAGACGTGAAATCAACGTCCTCCGTACTACGTCCGTAGTAGCGCGCGCGCATTCGTGCGCCGCATACCCGCGGTGCACCGATTGATTTCTCTATGGTCACCCGCGGAATTCTCTTCCATGCGATACAAAATGCCGTTCGACCCGAACCGAGATTCTTGAGACCCGAGCGAAAAAAAGAAGAAAGGAAAAGGCAAATTTACTCCGGAGAGCTCCTCCATCCGGATCTATGATAGGAATGTCCTCGATTCTCCTCTATCTCGCACTGAGAGAAAAAGTTTTCATGCATATTTCTATATTTTTCTCAGAACAAACAAATATGTTTCCGTCAAAAGTGGCTGCGAGTTTATTGAGATTACTTTTTTCCCCGATTTTTATTATTATTATTCTTCTTCTTATGTTAATGGAGCAAGTACCACTGCAGCGATAGTGGCGATAACATTTTGCAAATATTTGTATATTTTTTAAACAAATATGGTTCGCTTCAGAAATGACTGCAATTTTAGTGAGATTGATAATTTTTTCTTTCATCTTTGTCGCTAATAATGATTTTTTCTTTTTATTTTTATAGCCACTGCAGCGACAGCGGCGGGATTACATTTCATGCATGTTTCTATTTTTCTTAAAACAAAAATGCACGATTCTGCCAGAAGTGACTGCAATTTTTGTGAGATCAATTACTTTTTTTCTCTCATTTTTATCATTGACGATTGCTTTTTCCTCTTACTTTTATATAGCAAATACCACTGTAACGATAGTGGCGATTTTACGATATTTCTACAGCTCATTAGAACGAAGGAGTGTGACTCACGCCGGATATGACCGTACTTTTAGTGCGATTAATCATTTTTTCTGTCAGTGCGATAACGATATGCTATCGCATACTCCGTTGGTACATTGCGCACCCCAAGTACTCACTTATGATACAAGATAGCCGGAATTACGGCATCCGATTCTTCAATTCGATCCGCGGAGGGGCAAATCCGACGAAAGAAGGATACGTGTCAACGACTTGTAACTCGACATGACACTCGCGCATTCCGCGCATCGATGCGCATTGTCGGCCGATTTTCCGTATCGGGGATATCACGATCGGCGAATGATCGAACTGGAACATACAACCTTTCGCTCGGATCTACCGTCGCAATATTATCTCGGCCGCGGCGGTCTCGACTGCGCCGCCGTTCTAACCCCTTGCCTGCGATGTGCACTTGGCTGGAACCTTCTCTAATAATAGGACGGGACTTTCGTCTCTCCGCGAGAGATCCAGCCGCCTCCTGCTCCTCCTCCTTCCTTCTCGTCGTCTAAGACGGTCACCACTCGGTTATGTGCACGTCGCCGTGCTTCGCTAATTTTACGAACTGCAGATACGTGTCTTCAATTATTTGTTACTTTTTCGGCCAATTACATTCGAACATTTAGCGGCAAAATTGCAAAAGATCTATGTCGTCTGATCGTTCAATTCTCTCATGCCGAGGCGCAAAGATGGATTTAACAACGTGGTTATTCATTTCTAAAGCTCTAAATTTCTCGGAGTAAAATCTCTTTCGCTCGAAACGAGTAAAAATTCGCTCGATGCGGTAGTGAAAACACTGCCGCTCGGAATCACAAGAGCGAGTGTCTAACTCAAACTCAGAGTGGATTCTTAATTCGGGCGTTTCAGTCGATTTGTTTTTGTGAGACGGTAGAGTACACTAGATTCGCTCTTCAGTTTCGAATGAAAATATTCACACGACGATTCAGAGTGGAGAATTCACTCTGCATGAGTGAAAAGTTG